GCGACCACGCAGACAACGCCCCACGAGTGCGGCAGAGACAGAGTGCGCGACGAATACGATTCTCGCGAGTCTCCAGGGACGCAGGGCGCATGGCGTCAGCCGCCGCAGCGGTCTGATTTCGAGCACTGCTCTCGTCAGTCCGAGCGTCAGTCTGTCTCTCTCGCGGGGCGTCGCAGAAGGGTGCGAGAGAGATAAACCGTCGAGAGCAGCGCGCCCTTCAAGTGGCCGGATGACGTGTTTGCCAGTCGGGTATCTCCGCCGCACTCCGCCCTAGCCGCTAGAGAGGCCCTTCCGGCGAGATAAGGACATCCTGGACGTCACGGCCGGCCCGCGGTCCGCGTCGTGTCGTATTGGCCACTCTTACGTAAACAACTGCAGGCGCCCTGCAGCCCTGCGGCCCTCCAGCCCTGCGGCCCTGCGGCGACAAGGCCTCCTCGTAGGCGAGGGCGAAGGCAGGCGAAGGCGAACCGCGAGCCATTTGAGCCACTTCACTTCCTTGGCGGTGCCGCGTGCTGCGTGGGACGCCAGCCGCGGGGAGGAGGGGGGGGGGCGGCCTGAAAAGCGGAGGCGTGGGTGTCGTGCCCAAGCTGGACTGCAGAAGCTTCGCGAACCGCGACGCGGCGACTGCCCGAGACACTTCCTCGGCGACTGACTGCTTTCGTCGCTGCGTCTCTCTCGCACTCAAGGCTCTCCGCAAGGACGCGAGAGAGACAGAGCGACGAAGCAGCGAGTGCAGGTGGGGCGCGCGACTAGACTCCTTTGTCTGGTGGCGGGCGCGGCGCGCGGGTCGCGTCAGGACGTGCTGTTGGTGCAGTCGACGGCGTCCCCGCGTCCCCGCCACTGGACACGCATAGACACACCATAAGGAGACGAGGCGGCGAGGCGCGGACTTTGGCGTCCGCCAGGCGGCCGGCCAGTCAATGGTCTGTTCGCGCCATCGCGCACCTTGCCACGGCGTGGCAATGCCGCACATTCAGTATCAGTCTATGGTATCAGTGTACCATCAGTCGCAAAAGAGGAGGCTCAACTCCTCGTCCTCCTCGCGCGCCGCGCACTGGGGTATGACGCGCGGTATAATTATCAGCGACGCCAACGATTTTGCCCGATCTCGTTTGGTATCGTGTGACTTTTGCGCAACTTTTCCTGAAAATTTTCGTTTTATTTTCTAAATTTTGACTGCAAAGTCTCGATTTTGTCGGGAGGTACAGTACATGAACACAAGCCGCGACTGATCGGGGCACGGCACTCCCCCCTGGCGTCCGGCACCGCCGGTACCGTCCGCACCGCGGCCGGGGAAGTCCTCGCGGGGGTTGCCGCGTTGCCGCGACCCCGACGCGGCCGCCACCGCGGGGACAGCCCCGCCAGCCCGCCTCCACTTCCAGCAAGGCCCCGGGCCGGACCCGCAGCCCCGCGCCGGCCCGCGCCGCCCCGCCGATTTCGGCGAAACGAAATAATCCCGAGATACCACGCTCCACTTCCCTTGCCGCCACTTCCCTCGCGTGGCTGCGGATCTAGTATCGCAGTATTGCAGGGCCAGCACTGTGAGTCACCGGGAAGGTGTCCGCACGGGCATCGCGGGGCGCGGCGGCGGAGGGTGGGACCGCGAGGACTGTGTGTGTGTGGTGGGGACCCCCCGCCCTGCAAGTAGGGCCCCACCCCGACGCCCCCCCACCACCGCGCCGCGCTATTCCCGTCCACTGACGTCAGTGCCAGCCAATCCCGTCGCTGCTTCGCGGAGGATGACGTCAGCTGCATTCGGAGAACCGCCGACCGCGGCCGGCGGCGCCGAAGCGTCGAGGCGCGCCGAAACGAAACGGCCCCACCGACTGCGCGACGCGACCAGACGCGGCGCCGCGGCGGGTCCTGTCCTCCGCGGGGCAGGCGGGGCCCATCCTCAGCCTCCCGCGGCCTGGGTGGGGGTGGTGGGGGTGTCCTCCTTCACCCATTCACCCATTCATTCGAAGCGTGGTGTCGCCGGTCCACGAAGCACCACGTAACGAGTGTACTCCACTGCAACGAGCCGATCGGGCGACCGACGCACGACGCACGATAACGCAGCATTGCGTTACTGTACTCGGGGTTCGAGGTTCAGAGACGTAGGCATGTAAACCCTGCAGCTGAGGTTCCCACGTCAATCGTAGTAGTCGCGACGGCAGACGGCGTGCAAGATGAGCACGAGACGCGAGAAACTAGAGCAGGCGTGCTGCGCTGGCCCCGGGCCCGTCCCGTCCCGTTGAGCGCTCCCCGCGGCCTCGTCTGAGTCACACTCCAGAAAGATCCGTGCACCACCACATCGGCGACCTAATCGCAACGCGCTGCCCTCTCCGCCCTCCGCCCCCCACGGCCCCACGGCCCGCAAATCGTGTAATTTGTGCCTTCCGTCGTTCCACGAAACGCGTGCCTGTCTGGCCGTCAGCTGCGCCTGCGCCGCGCTGCCCCGCTGCCCCGCTCTGCGCTCTCGTCTCGGAGTTTGGTCGGCCCGGGGCCCAGGGGGCAGCGGCCCCGGAGGCGGAGCGGTGAGTCACTCGTGACGTCGGCGCGCTGGTGTCGCTGGAGTGAGGCGTCACTGTGACGTCACTGCTGCTGCGTTTCGGCGGTGTCGGCGCCGGCGTGGCTCCGGCTGCGGCCTCGCCAGCTTTGCGAGCTTCGCCCCTGGGGGCTGGGGGCACCCCGACGAGCCGGAACTGCTGCAATGCCGTAGCACGCCCACGCACTCCGCCGGCCCGACGGCAAGCCCGGCGTGCGCGGCGCAAGGACGGTGGAGGAGGCCGCCACCGCCAACCCTGTCGGCATGGACCAGGCGGCCGGCGTGGGGAATCCCAGAGTGCCTGGTTGGCCCTGGTTGGCCGCCCGGCCCAGCCCCTTCCCCCGCATTGACCCCTCCCTCCTCCTCCCGGTTCAATCCATCCACCCATCCACACCGACAGGCCGGCAGGGCGGCAGTGTGCGTGCGCGATATAATTCACGGTGGAGGGGCGGCGGGTGCAATACTCATGGGGAAAGCCAAAAGGCCCTCAGCGGGGCGCGCCCCGCCCAGGTCCGCCCAGGTCCGCCCTTGGCAACCCTTCGACGGGGAAGTACGCGGAACACGAAGCCGGGCTCGGCGGGCGACACAAAAACGCAACAGTGCAGAGCAGCTGTGTGAACGTGGTCACCATCCGACATGTTCGTTATTTGTTATTTTCAGAGGTAAAACAAGGCGAACTTTTTAGATATGTACCACTACGAGCAACGTAGGCCAAAATTTTCATTTTCTATGATTTTCTTTCCCAAGAGCTTTACGCTTAATCTATTACTTTGCTACTTGCCAATCCATACACTCCACCCAATCAAAGGCATGCCTTTGACATGCATGTTGTTGTTTTTTTTTTTGCAGGAAATGTACAGTAGTACCTATAGCGAACTCTACTTTTGCACTGCACCCACTTCACTGCCTCGCCTCGCAAAAAAACAAGTGGGTCCTTGGACAACGCACACTACTAGAGCCCAGCACAACGCATGCGAATATGACCCTTGCAACGCAGTCGTCTTGCATGGCGTGGCAGAGGATCTTGTGGACGTACCTGCGGTTCGCGCGGTCGGCACCGAGTCCTGTGGTTCCTGTGCGTGAACGCGGCGAACTCGGTTTGCTGTCCGTCGGCGATGACGGGCTGGCTGGCAAACTGGCTGGCTGGCTGGCCGTCGGGCTGGTGCGGCACACCTGCAACTCCCTCCGCGGCTGAGCCGTCGGCCCCGCCGCGCCCCGCCGCGCCCCGCCGCGCTGCCCCTTCCTTTATCAAGGCGATAAAGACGTCCACGGGGCGGTTCGCGGCACGCGGCACCGCGTTCGCACCGCGCTCGCACGCCCCGACGGCGTGCTGCCAGAGGTGCCGCCGAGGGGGCCGCGGACCGCGGGGCGCGGAATGTGCACCCCAACCCCAACAGAGCTTTCTGTCTCTCTCGCACTCATGGCGCGTCCCGCAGGGGTGGGAGTGGGAGAGAGACAAAACGACGAGGCTCTATTCGGAATCAGCCAGCATGGAAGGTGCTGCCTGGCTGAGCTGCCTGTACATACTTTGAGGATGTTGAAGCCGATCCCTCCCCTCGCCTCTCCCCCACCTAACTCCCTTGCTCTACCTCGCACCTGCACTGTGGAGCCTGCGAGAACTTGGAGATTAGCGGCCCGCGGCTGTGTGGCAGGTCCGCACTCGTCCGCACTCCCCTCCGCTCCGCACAACGCCCATGCCGCCCAGCGAACGCTACGCCCAGCACGGTCTGATCTGCACCAGCTAATCTGTTTTTTCCGCGCAAGTGCCTGGGGGGGGGGGGATAGCGCAGGAAGGAAACGGCGCCAACGACAACACAACACGCCTGTGGCGTGCGCGGTGCGCGCGAGTCTCCAAGGACGGCGTTGACGGCGTGCACCAACGTGCACCGCGAGCTCCGCGAGCACCGCGCCTGGAGGGGCGAGGCAGGGAGGCTGCGAGAGCAGCCTCAGTGCCTCAGGCCTGCTCAGGCGGCCGTTCGGCCCCAAGGGCACGCCTTGGGCAGGCTGTCGCACGCCGTGCAGTGGCTTGCCTGCTATAGCCTGCTAGCCAGCCACCTGCCGCCGCATTACCTTATGGCCTGCTGCGCGGCCTGCTTCGGCTGCACCGCTCTCCTTGTCCCCGCCGCCAAGCCGCGACCCCCCACCCCGGGCCGCGCCCCCACCCCAACCACCACGGCCACCACCACGGCCACCACCACGGCCACCACCACGGCCGCCACCACGGCCACCACCACGGCCACCACCACGGCCACCACCACGGCCACCACCACGGCCACCACCACGGCCACCACCACGGCCACCACCACGGCCACCACCACGGCCACCACCACGGCCGCCAGCACGGCCACCAGGGCGACCGGCGAACGTGGTGTGAACGTGTGCCTGGCGGGCCTGGCGCCAGTGCCTACGGTGGGCAATAGGCCCGACGCCATTCAAATGAAAGAAGGAGAAAACAAGCAAAAAGCAGCAACTACTGGATGATAATAGGGCAGTTATTTAAATTTTTTCTCAGGTTTGCTGTCCCAACACATTCCTAAGCAGATAAAAATTACTCCAAAAACTCTTAGAGCTACAGTTTGAGGTTCGTAATAACCTTGTAAGGATAAGGCAGGCAGCTGGCAGCCCGTTCTACTGCTGACGCCGTTGGGCTGCCTACTGACCAGGCGCCAAGCGAGGTCTGGTGTTCTCTTATTTTTCTCATAGTGAGATTGATTCTTTCTAAATTTTTCATACAAACCTAGGGTGGGTAGGGGAAGCCTTAGCCTTCCCCACTTAGATTTACGTGCGTTCTAAGAGTGTTTGAACGGGGATTTGGCACAATTAAGGTATTATTTCATAGAATGCCCGGTTGTTTGAATCAATGTTTCAACAGTTTTGCTAGTTTGAAACGATGCGGTTCGAATGTTTCGTAGCGACACAGTATTGAAACTGACAGGTAGTTGTGGTCTGCAGGTCTAGGTCATCTTCATCTTCCAGCTGAGTTGCAGTTACTATCTGCTTATTCACAAATTAAGGTATCTCAACCTTGCAAGGTATTACGTCACTTTGAAAGAATGAGGAAATTTTATTGTGTAGAGAGTCTTTCCGTATCGATGTGGCGCTTCGGTAACCTTGCACACACACTTCTCCAGTCCCTTCTCTTGTCGTCTGCATTTGACAGAAACATACGTTTGTTTCGAAGTCTCGATCTCGGAAGACGACAGCCTTGAACTAGCTTTCAATATAAATGCCTACAACAGTTTACCGACGAAAATGCTTTTAAAACAAATTATTAGAATTGGAGAAGTCGAAAGGACCAACGGAAAGTAGTGAGAGACGGCTGTCCGCGGCTGTCATTAAACAACATAACCTCAGTGTGACGTTCTGCTAAGTAGTATTGGCCAGGCCGATAGTTGCCTTGCTCTTCACTGGTTTCTGAAAAGTTTCTTGTTTTTTTACAGGTTCAAATATGCAAAACATAATACCGCCTATCGTGTCCTCGTCTCCCCCTCCTCTTGACCCAATTGATGATGACAATGATGAAGATGATAATGAAGACGAGTTTGGAGATTTCAGCGTTGCTGATTTTGGGTCTTCTGCGGGTTCGTTTCTTTACATATAACGTGTAGTGATTGTTCCATAACTGCAATCTGTGCTGTTTGTCTCATTTAACCACACCACTTATCTTGTTTTGATTTTAGATTCTGCAATGCAGAAGTCAATACCGGATACCTCCTGGAAATTACCTACGTTGAAATCAGACGTCCTTGAAAATGGTGTGGTATCTCTGAAGTTACCTGTAGAAGACACACCACCACAATCTCAGACTGAAGCCTTAGAAGATGAAGAATTGTTTGAGAATGGTGATAATGCTAGTCATGATTCAGTTGTGTCTGCCATTACTGATTCAGGGAACTGCAGCGCAAGCCAAAACAGCAATGGGACGTCTCCTATGCCTGGTGCAGAAGTAGAAGATGAAGCAGTTCTCAAGTCAGATGCTTGTCATCTTCAACAAAATGGTGGTACATGTGAAACACCATGCAATAGAACAGATTCTGGTGTGCAGAACTGTACTGTTCCTGTTCCAAACCAAATTTTAAGTGATTTCTGTGAAGCAAGGGACATTGATGAAAATAGGACTCTTAATATAAGCAATAATTCATTGGCAGATGGTTCTTACCAACAATCTGCATGTACTTTAGTCTCGTCTCCAGCCAAAAAATTTTCAGATGAATTTTCAAGTACGGAACTTGTTGTTGACCAAAATGAAGGTTCAAAGGCTCAAGTTGTGATAGCAAACAATCCTGTAGAGCAAAAAAGTGACACAACTTCATTTCCTTCAGTAATGCCTAAAAGTAATAATGACGATTCTGATGAATTTGGAGTGTGGAATAGCAGCACTGTTCCACTTAAACTAAATAATTTTCAATCGATAGATTCACAAAGTAACTTAGGCTCTGAACCCAAGTCAGATCCTGCTACCTTGGCAAAAGTTTCGAAAACGGAGGTATCCAAGGGTTTCAACGGCCTCGAAGACCATGATTGCGTTCGGGGCATGATCATACCGGACATTCCAGGTTTAGGCGATTTTGATGGTGATGAGGATGATGATGATGATTTTGGAGAATTTCGTGGCATAGAATCTCCAGGCAAATGTTCCTCTGATGCTCAGAGTATTGATGAATCTATGAATGATGCCCAGTTTCAATCTCCGTCCAGGAGACCTACGCTAGTGCTCTCAGATAATATTGTTACTGATATGTCTGACACTCAATCACCATCTACCGTTGAAAAGAACAAGGATGCTTCTCAGCAACCCACAGATGCATCCTCCATTGAGATCAATATTAGTTCTTTGGAAGAAAATAGCTCTGTATTATGTCAAACAACTAAAGAAGAAATCAATGTCATGCCTTCTACCAGCCTTCATTCTTCTGAAATTCCTGCATTTGCCGATGAGTTTGCTGACTTTTCACAAGCGGAGATCGAAGAAAACCCTGCATCTGATGGATGGGCTCAAGCAGCTCGAGCATCAGCAATTCAAAATACAATGCCATCCCAAGATCCATTGGAATTTGATGACTTTGATGATTATGAATCGGCAGAATTTCAATCAGCTGACCCAAAACCAAACATTGCGCCATGCCCAAATTCTCACTTTGACCTGAACAAAATTCGCTCCACATTAGGTGAAGTATTGAAAGAGAACTTTCCTGTTCCTGCTGAAAGCAACATGTCGACTGAAATGGAAAATATGGGCACAAATGGTCTCTCTGGACTTATATTAGACATAGAAGAAAGTCCTGTCTGGCAAGGCTTGCGGGACCTTGAGGCCACACCTTCCATATCCTTTCAATGGCCAGGTTCCCATGCCAATAGAGGCCTACTGGGTGCCCTCAACATTGACTCTCGAAACATAGTAAGTAGCATTGTTTTCAAGACTGTACATGAAAGAAGGAAAATACCTCGATCCATGCACTCCATAACATGTATTATTCGAATTTTCCCTTATAGCTTTTTGGTCCTAAATGGAACACAGTAGTTCCCCGCTTTGCTGCAAACCTTGGCTTTAGTCCACTTGAACCAGTCCGTGCAGTCCAAAACCAACCACCTTCTGAACCGTCCCCTAGACCAGAAGTGATTCAACCTCAGGTAGTGGAGAGCATCAAACGTTCTTCTTCTGAGCACGGAGTAAGTTTTTTTTTAAATATTAAACATTTTCCTTCTCATTTATGTATCATGGAACACCAATTACAAAAACTCATCAATTTCAGGAGGTGGTACCTGCTGCTCAATTTGACTGGAATGATAGTGGACTTACCAACCCTCTTGACTGTAAGTAGTTGTTGTTTGTTACCCATTCTAAAGATAAATATTATCTGTTGTTTGTTTGAATTGTGTTGGTGTCGGTGCTAAGAAATGTCTACTCACAATAAAAATGTTTTTACTCTAACAAAAATGAAACTGACTGGAAAGGTACTGCAAGTTTGTAGAAAAGTGTAAATTTATCACACTTATTGTACATAGGAGCTCTGGTTGTGTTGATATACTGTACATTCTTGCCAGGGTACTAACGTGGTGTAAAGTAATTTTTGCCACTTAAAACCAATAGACTGTTTAGATTGAATAATAACTACCCCCATTTCACTTGATCGTTGACTCTTCCGCAAAACAGTGATGTATTCCTGTGCAGTATTGTGTTTTCTAATGGCACTGTTGTCTGTCTCCTCATCCTCTTCCTTTCCCCTTACGTCTCTTTCCGACCTTAGCATCCACTCATTCGTCACTCCTGGATCTTGATCTCCTTGCCTCATTCGATAATCTGGCCTCCTGTCCCTCCCAACCTATGTCCACCTCTCACGCTGCCGTGGTGTGCCGGAGCTTACTCAGTAAGTTGTTCATTTGCATTTGTAATGCAATGGGCCTTGCACTCACCCTCAAGTTTGCTTTGCATTGGAATGCTAGCCAGGGTTGACAATCTCATTTTCTGAATCATAAGTTGCTTTCAGCTGTAAAATGTAGTTTTATGTAAAGAGGTTTATTAGATCGTTCCCTGCTGTATCTTGTTGTATGAAGCTGTAAACAAAGCTCTTTTTTTAAATTCAACATTCGCAAATTTTTTGTTTAATTCATCTCATTTCTAAATTGTTAACTTTTAATATTTTTCCAAAAAAGAAGCATGTGAGCAGTGTGTGATTTATTGAATGCTGTCAGGATGTCTTGATTTCATAATTTGGTACTTTTGTTGAATTAGTCATGCAATACCTGTCTTTGGTATTTATTTTTATTTTATATTTGCAAAGATCAGAGATAATCTGACATTGCGTTTGCTCTGTTTCTTTTTTGAAATAAATTGCCAGGAGCATGGTTTGATTTTCCGTGAGGATTAACATGAGTGACATAGAGAAATATTTCTGTTGCAGCTACCAAGGACCCAAACAATGGTGCTCTTGCAACCACGGCAGCAAGTGGAAACCCAGCTATGACAACCACGCCTCTGCAGGTGGAACAGCTGCTAGCTTCCTCCAAAAGAACTGCACCGCTGAATTCTCTGGAGAGAAAGACCAGAGACCCTACATTAAGCCCTGAAGCAGTTCGTGTTTTGGATACACTTCCAGAACTGGCATTTCTTTCTGCCCGTATGTTAATGTTTCCAGTTCATGGAGATCGCAATGAGAACAAATTGTGACAAAAGTGTTGTAAGAGAGGCTATGGTGTTTTGAAAACTTGACTTCCATGTAATTTGAATTCTGGCACTTGATCACATCTGGTCTCTGTGGATTGCTTTAAATCAATTTGAGTTCAAAATTGGTCTTTTTTCTTTTAATAATATTGTATGATTTTTCTCATATTATTTTACTCTCTTTTTATAAAGTTAAAATGAAATGTAAATTTCCACTTTCTAACATCTGAAAATTTTTTGGTCACATCTGTTTTCTGATTTTACTTTGTTGTTTTTGCCGAATTTTAATGTACTGTACAATGGTTAGTACTGCATTGCTTCATGTTGGTTAGGCAGCAGTGTTATTTCCTGAACCTTAGGCGAGCATATCAACATTATTTTTGCTCATTGTGAATAGTTGGTCTAATATGTAATTTTTTTATTGATATGTGTTTATGACAAGAATTTAACATTCAATTGAAGTGTTAACTTATGTATTGCTAAATTGGTTTGCTCAAAGTTCATGCAGATGTGAGTGTGTTTGCATTTTGGTTTCAAGACCAGAGATGAAATTGCAATGCTCATTACATCCCATGTTAATCCTGTGTTTCATTGCTTCTCTTCAAATGTAGCTCTCAACAGTCTCAGGGTAGGTATGTATGTTACAGTTTTTAGGTACAGTTTTGGTTTTCTCACTGAAAAAGAAAAGACTTTGTAATTTAATGTTGAAATACTCAATAGTAAATGTGTTTTCCTAGCTGTTACCAGATTAGGATAATCATTGACCTTGTTCCTGCAAGTTTACTGATGGTCTGATCTACATGCTACAGAAAACCACTCTTTGTAAATTTTGTGCAGTGTTCATGTACTATTCCCTGTAATTTGCTTTGATGTATAGGTACTGTAATATTTTTTCTAAGTATTATATGGTAATTTAACAGAATTTCCACCTTGTTGATTCTATCTCTTTGTACAGTGTAAGGTTTCTTATTTGTATTTAATCTGTCTCTATTTTTTAATATTTAACCACAAGGTGTTATGCTTTATGTCCGTATTATTTACTCCAGATGAGGTACCCCTTTTTAGATCCTTCCCAATGGTAATTTTCCTCCTCCATTGACTACAGTTATTCAGCTTTCCTCTATTTTTTGTTTGTTTGGTAGCTTTATCACCCATACGTGTTCAAAGTTTTGTAAAAAAAAGTATCTGAGTGACTTAATGTGTGCTGCTGAAATTGAACTTAACTTCACTTAAATGCATTTGACTGGTTGTGGTTTTTAAATCCTTAAATTGGGCAGACACTTTGTAAGATTGAGGAATGTAGTCATTAGTTGTTTCTTTTTTGTTAGCTAAGAATTAAATCTTTTTCCCTGGCACTCTAAGCTATTTTGTGCTAGCTTGTATTATTAGACCCATTATTATTTTCTTTAGGAACTCTTGTGATATTCGTCATTTTATTCCTAGTATAATTGTTTTTTGTTGTTTTCCAATTCTTTGCAGTGCAATACCTAACCATTTTCTTCGGGTGCGATGAATCTAGTTTTGGCTTACTTGTTTGGTTATAGTGTAAATCTACCGTCCATTTCTGTCGAGCATGCAGGTTCATCAGTGTAATGGTTTTAGAAACCAAACCATTTGTGTTTTACCCCCTTTCAAATTCATTGTTCTCGGATTAGCTCAGCTTTTTTTGTTATCAATCCTATTATGTCGTTGGTTTTGTGAAAACTTTATGGAGAGTAGAGTAGAGGCACGCTTTCCGCTTGTGTCTCATGTGACTTGCCAGAGCTTTGTTGTTTGGCTTTAATAGGTTTCTAAGTGATGCTATTTTCTTAGGTTCTTTCTGTGATGGAAGAGAGCTTGGTGGAAAGATGATTTGTTTCTGTTTCCATTTTTTATCAGCCTTTGACTCCTAAACCCATGCTTCAGAGTTGTTTAAAAATTGTTAAATTGATGATGCGAAAATTAGACGAGACATTGACAGCGTATTATTTTACTTTGAATCTAGGGAATTTTTAGTTGTATTTGATGAGCTTCTTAATTGTGTATTTGAATTTAGATGGGATAGAGAATGAAAAAATACTGATTTGGTGAATATTTTTTAGGGGGGTGGTAAAAGCATTGTGTCTGATGCTGAAGCAGTATTTGTGCGATCTCTATTGTATGTGAGCACATATGCATATTGTGAGTGCATTGTTGTAGTCAAAAATTTGAAATCAACATTCCCTTTTACTATGTACTTACCCACTAATGAAACATGTCCAGATGCAATAATTGTGATAAACTTGATTGAGTTAACAAGCCTTTCAAGATTTTGTTTAATGTTGGGTTGATCCATGTAGCCAGTTTTCCATTCTGATTTAGAAGGAATTGGATCATACTTCATGTTCCACAGGTTTCTGTCCATGAATGATATTTTTCAGAAATGTGACAATGTTTAAGAATAAAATTGTATTCAATTTACTTTTAATTTTTTGCTCACAAACAGTTACAAACAAAAACAAAAAAACTTCACAAAGAAACAACAATGACACACAATACTGTGCTTCAGACTTAAGAATAATAATAATAGTCTAGGTACCAGTCTTGGTACATCACATACAATAACATCACAGATTTTGTATTGGTCATAGCCCACACTCTTAAATCTTAACATCAACATGATTGCCTATACAAATAGAAGGTAAAAGATGTGTTCTCATCTGACAAGACTTCCATTGCAATTAGGAACAGAGCACCTTAATTTTCAAATTTGAACATATATCATGGTGATCATTTCTCCCGTTACAACTAACGATCAGCGCAGTGCTTTGTCCTCTGAAGCTTGGAACCACAAACTTCAAACTTGAGTATTTCCTTACGTATCAGTCGGAGCTCAGTGCATTCAAACACACTATCGCACAATGAAAAGATTACCATTTGTCCCAATCTTTCCAACCAGAATCCCAACCATGGCCACCCCCACATTTACCACATCCTCCATACCCGCCGCCCCCATGCCCACCACCCCCATGCCCGCCGCCCCCGTGTCCACCACCCCCGTATCCACCGCCCCCGTGTCCACCACCCCCATGCCCGCCGCCACCATATCCACCACCCCCGTGGCCTCCTCCGTGACCACCACCATGGCCTCCCCCATACCCTCCGCCGCCATGACCATCTCCATCGTAGTCACCTCCGCCGTGTCCACCTCCGCCGTGTCCACCTCCGCCGTGTCCACCTCCGCCGTGTCCTCCTCCGCCGTGTCCACCCCCGCCGTGCCCACCTCCTCCATAACCATCTCCACCGCCATGGCCACCTCCGCCGTAACCACCTCCACACCCGTGATTGCAACCTCCTCCATGTCCACCACCGCCATATCCTCCACCCCCATGGCCTCCACCTCCGTGACCACCTCCTCCGTAGCCCCCGCCCCCGCCTCCATGCCCACCCCCGTGTCCCCCGCCATGCCCTCCGCCTCCGTGACCTCCACCCCCATGGCCGCCTCCGCCATACCCTCCGCCTCCGTGACCCCCACCTCCATGACCTCCACCGCCATACCCTCCGCCTCCGTGACCCCCACCTCCATGACCTCCACCGCCATACCCTCCACCTCCGTGACCTCCACCGCCATACCCCCCGCCCCCATGGCCACCTCCGTGACCACCTCCGTGACCACCTCCGTGACCACCTCCATACCCCCCGCCTCCATGGCCACCGCCGCCATATCCACCACCTCCGTGACCGCCTCCACCATGGCCACCTCCATAGCCGCCGCCTCCGTGACCTCCGCCACCTTTACCCTTGCCCCCGCCCCCTTTGCCTCCTCCGTAGCCCTTTCCACCGCCTCCTCCGTAACCTTTTCCACCGCCTCCTCCATAGCCCTTGCCACCACCGCCCCCGTATCCTTTACCACCCCCCTTGCCGCCGCCGTACCCCTTCCCCCCTCCGTACCCCTTGCCCCCTCCCCCGCCGTACCCCTTGCCACCGCCGCCATGACCTCCGCCGTGGCCGCCGCCGTACCCGTAGTGGCGCTTGACTTTACTCTTGGCCTGCGCCCGGGTCTCGTTGCCGTCGTCCTGGGCGTACTGAGACTGCGTCCGCGTGGTGGCTTCCGCCCCGCTGCAACGGAAACGTGCGTGTTCCAGTGTGTCAGCACTGAGGCCTGCCACTGCCCTACTGCTGGGTATCTTCGAAAGGTACTCACGCATCGGGAAGCATGGGCTGCATCGCGTGGTCGCTGGGACTGAAGGCGGCGTAGGCCGTGAAAGAGGGCGGCCTGGACGGCCTGCTCGGCGCCGCCACCGCCATGGAGCCCGACACTCTGCAACGAGGCGACAGTGTCACAACGCTTCCCCGCGCAGCACGCTGCGCACCACACTGCTGTACTCACTGCGTCTCCGCCGTCTCGACCTGGGTGGACCAGGCCGCGGTGGGGGCGGCCAGGCTGCAGGCCAGGTACAGCTGGAGAAGGGGCCACGCGGCGCGCAGCAGCACCCGCATCTGCAGACCGAGAGACCGTCAAGACGCGCGCTCAGCCGGGGTTAGCGAAAGCGCGACAACAGTGGCACGCTGTGCACGCATGCACGCATGCACGCAGCCCGGCGAGGCAACCCTTCGCCGTCGCCAGCAGTATCACCAAATGTTCCGATGGTTTCCCACCTCAGCCGGCATACGCCAGCCTCTTGTGCTTCTTGCCCATTTGAGGTCATGAGTTTGGCTGCTAGGCAGGCTGAGGTAGGCTACCCTCTAGGCCTAAACATCAATGAATCAGTGAAATACCCGGAAAAAGCCTTTTCCCCACTCGTTTCAACTAATTTGCTATTTTATTTTGTCAAAATCGACTCCAAATATTCGGACGTTTCTGGAGCGCCCTTCCCCTCCATGTCCGCAAGCTTCGTGACCCGCGAGGCGCGCCGCTCGGCCTTTGAAGCCCAGAGCGGCCGAAGCCACTGGCTACGATAATTCAGTACCGATCGCCCAGTCCGGTCCTGAATAATGTACATTGTAAAGCTCGCTATTGCGGTAACGAGATACTGTGGCGGGGCCCCAAAGCCTGATTACGAAGCGCGGCGCTTTCGTCGCGCTGTCTCTCTCGCACTCATGGGACTGTCCGAGTGGGTGCGAGAGAGACAGAGCAACGGAGCGCGTCAACATGGCTGAATGTAATCGCGCCGCACCGCGTGGATGGCTGAGTGGGCAATCTCTATATTCGGCAGCGGGCCTGGCTGCCTGGCTGTGCCTCAATGGACACGCGAATCAACAAAGGGTAAACAGTGCAGCAGCCTCCCCCCACCCTCGCAAGCCGCATCTAATTCCATTCCGTTTCAAGTGACTGCGTGGGATGGCACGTCCACGGCCTCGCCGGCACGCCGTTCTAATGACAACACCACGCGCACGTGAGCGCTGCACGGCGCCAATCCAAATCAACGCCACCGATGTCCACACACTCACGCAAACACTCACCGCGGACACTGATCGCCTGGCCATGCCTGTGGGTAGTTCGGCCAGCCCGGCAGTGTCCTGCGGCTGGCACTCCTCGGCGCCGTGCTCGTCCGCTCCGTGCTCGCCGTGCTCGAGGTGCGGTCTGGCCTGCAGGTCCGGAGGGTCTGGCGCGTTGGCTGCGGCGGCGCTCGTTTTAAGGCCTTTCAGCGCTTTAAGGGCCACTTTCACTATCGACAAACGACAAGCGCAGGCGGCGCAAGCGGCCAGTGGCGGGACGCGACGACGGTGGGCCGCCTTGCGGACGGAACCAATTTGGGGGTTTCGATTGGCCGCGACGCCGCGGCCCGCCCCGGCCCCGCCCCGGCCACGGCCCGCAGAGCATTGCAGTCCGATTTAGTGCCATTTGCTTTGGACGGGCCGCGCAGCCGCACAGCCCGCCCGGGCCGCCGTCGCCGTTGCCGGCTGTTGGCGCCACAGTTCCGCCACGACGTTCTGGGCCCTGGGCCTGGGCCCTGCCGAACTGTCTTCGTTTCGTCGCTCCGCCTCTCCCACGCCCCTCCGGGCCTTCGGGACGCCCCTTGAGTGCGAGAGAGACAGAGCAACGAAAGGATCTCTCGGAACGAGGCCGGCAGCGTTACGGCGACCCTCGCCTCGGCCACCGCGATGTATTGTGGTATCCGCGCCGCCGCGCTGCCCCCCCCCCCGGAATCGAGTGCCGTAACTTATGGGTCCTCTCGGTGCTCCGCGGTGCTCTCGCCCCGCAGTCCCGGTGGGCCGCGGCGCGGCGCCGCGGCCGCGTAAGGCGGGCAGTGCCTGGGCAGTGCTAGCTCCAGTGGTTACGCGGCGGCGGCGTCGGGGGAGGCCGTGCATCACTGCTGGCATGCGGACGCGGACGGCCCCCACGCTCGGACACCTGCAGTTGGAGGCCGAGCAGAGCCAAGCCGACCACCATAGAGCGCCAGCAGGCAAAAGTTGCTCGTAAATAATTGTTTCGACAAAATGGCTTAGCCGGCACCCGTACTGCGGTGCACCCTGTAGCGCCTGTGAGGTAGGCCAACATTCAGACCCGCATCACAGCCATGTGCAGACGGTGGCCTACCCTGCCCCTGTGAAGGCGACAGGGGCTAGGTAGACCACCGTCTCCACGCCGGTGTTTTGTAGTCTGGGCCAGTGGCCTACCTCGCAGGCGCTAGCCACAAGTCACGGGCGTAGTGCTCTGGGGGAGGAGTGCAATTGCCGAACCCGCACGACGACGGCAGAGTGTGGGTAGATCGCCGTGCGCGGGCCCCGCGGCCCCGCGGGCCATGTTGGCGGATGCAGGTGGGGCGTTTCTCTCTGGAGCGCTCCGGGGACACGCGGGCTTTGAAAGCAAAGCAAATTGCGGAGGAGACTCCATGTCCCGCGGCACGGCCAGCGAGAATTGGTGTGTCCCGTCCCGCCGCCCGCTCCGGCACCAGTGTGGGCGAGGCTTGGGGCGAGGCTCGTGGCTCCAGCAGACAGATTCTGCACTTCACCGTCATCGCCCGCGCAGTCTCTCTCGCACTCATGGGGCGTCGCGTGTTGGTGCGAGAGACACAGACCGACGAGGCGCTGTGCGGAAACAGTCCAACGCGGTCCCCGCCCTGCCAGTGTGGCTGCGGCGGGTCGTCGCCGTCAAGGGCCGAGGGGGAGGGCTTTGCGAAAAAGGAAGAGAATGAGGCGGGGCCACACGCCAATTAGCGTCGTTTCCCTTTCAAAGCCCTTCGAGTCCTAAGAGTCCTCCGGGCCCTTAGCCCTTTGAGGGCCGCGGAGACAGGCGCGTCGCCTGCGCGGTGACGCGATCGCCACTTAGGACGAGTTGGATCCGGCGTCGCGCTGTTGGCCTGCTGGCGGTCGCTGGCGGTCGCCTGCCACTGAGTGGCGGTGGCGCGGCGTGGCGCGGCGTGGCACAGCGGAGAGGGCGCGACCCAACGTGCAAAGTCAGATCATCTCCCGGGGCGTCTCAATGTTGGGCCGGCTGCCAGTCCGCCCGCGGCTGGGCCACCACCATTTCAACGGCTGCCTTGTGGTGGCCGCGGTGGCACGGTCCGCTGGCCCCGAGCCCCGGCAAAACGTCGTCGCGGACGTGTCGCCGGACAAACGGCGCTTTGTGTCTCGTCGGCCACGTCGGTCGTCTAGTTCCAAGGCGGCGTGTCCATTGTGCGGTCAGGAGGCGGAGGAAAGTGCGGTGGCGGCGGTGTGGCCCCGGACGCCGCGGAGACGCGGCGCGGTGGCGCTGCAGCGCGGCAGCCGTGCGCCCGGGCAGCAGGCAGCCCACCGTGCAGCCCGGCGTGGCGGGCGCGGCGGGACAGGCGGAGGCGGCCCGCCTCCCCACAGCACTGGCGGCCCGCGCGGCGACCGCTAGACACGCTGCCCGCGCTGCGGGCAAACATCCGTCGCCGATGCGCGCGGCGTGGCGCGGCGTGGCGCGGCGTGGCGCGGCGTGCGGCCGGATGTGTGAGGCCGGACACGTCCGGGGAGGTCGAGGCCGAGGCGGACACCGCGCCGGCCGCAGCCTCTCCACCTCGCAGTGCCCCGCACTGCCCCGCACTGCCCCGCAGCCGGCCGCGTATGAATAAAACCGGAAGCGGCCGGGGCGGCCACGCCCTCGCCGCCGTACGGCCCCTGTTGCCGTACCCTTGCTGCCCTTGGGGTCGTTGCCGCACCGGGGCGGGGGCGTGAAGGACTCCGACGCAAAGCGCCAACCCTCAACCCTCACACGAGGCGGAGAGCAGCGACGGAGCCGCCATTTTAATTGAGGTCCAACGTTCTGTAAATGCACTTGAACGAAACGAGGAAAACGAGAAGAAAAATGTTGACCGGCGACGCCGCTGTTTGCGGGCCGGTCGAGGGCTGCTCTCTGTCTCTCTCGCACCCACGCAGGATGACACCGACACCCCGAGAGTGTGAGGAGACCTAGTCCGACAGAGTGACACGCCTGCCGAGTCTGCTACTTGGAAACGTGGCGATGTGGTCCGAATGGGATTCGCCTCATGCTACGCGGAGCGAAAACTGGACAGGAGTGACCTCGGGAGTGCCAACGAATAAAAAAAATTCCCTCGTGCCTACCGCCCCTCACCCAGTACATCGTTATAGCAACGTTTAGTAAGTACTTTTTTTCCTTTTTGTAGCGCGATACGGGACGGGACGGGCTGCGCCGCTGCGCACTGGACACAAATTACAACAGGGGCTCCCTAGTGACACCGAGGGTGACCCGCCGTGGACGGTCATGGACGCGGCCCGCGCACCCACCTCATCAAGTGGGGGTCGTCACGGCGTGTCGGAAAAAATGAAAATTGAATGAAAATAAAAGGAATGAGGAAAAGGGAGAATGTGTTCCCGAAAATTGAAGAATGTGGAATGTATCGTTTTCTCCAGAGCACACGAGCTTGAATCTCGCGTCGTTACGATGCCACGCCGCCCCACAGTGGGCCAGAAGATCGGCGGAGGCGGCTCGAACCCCATTGCGGGGGAGAGGGTCGTAGGGTTCAATCTTTTATGTTTTATTCTAAACCAAATTTGAAAGAGAGTGGCGTATATGACTCCGTTGTCGGTACCATGTGTTGTTTTGCCGAGTGGTGATGGGGCAGGGGGCTGAGGCGTTAATCTGGAAGGGTGCTGACCTGTGAATAGTGTAAAGACCGGTAAAGACCCATGCTCACCGCCTACACTTGGATAAGCAGTGCATATGTGACCCTACACCATGGGCGCGATGACTTCACTCCAGGCATCCCGCAAGTCTCGACGGTAGCAGTTTGTTTTAAGGTTAGGTAAGGTTCGTTGGTGGTTCAGTTGTTCGTAGCTCACCTGTCTGGCGTGACGGGCTCCCTTCTTCTTCTTCTTCTTCTTCTTCTTCTTCTTCTCCTCCTCCTCCTCCTCCTCCTCCTCCTCCTCCTCCTCCTCCACCTCCACCTCCTCCACCTCCTCCTTCTCTCCTCCTCCTCCTCCTCCTCCTCCTCCTCCTCCTCCTCCTCCTCCTCCCTCTCCTATATCCTGGAAACAGGTCGAACAAACTGTAGCTCAGCGAAAAAATGGCGATGCAAGAGATGTCTAGGTCGGCAAAAAGAGGCCGTGCAAAAATTCCAGAGGGAAGGAGGTTGGATGAATTTCGGGAGATCAGATAAAAAGAGGTCGTACAAACGATGCACTCCGGCCTTCTGCGGCCCGCCGCCCTGCGCGGCAAGGGGCAAGGCGACCGGCCAATATTTTCCAAAGCTGAATGTGCCTGCAAACGGGGCTGGGGCGGCCAATGAATGGGGCCGGCGGCGCGAGTCGCGATAACCGTGGCGCGTCGCGGGCACGACCCGAGGCACCGCCGGCTGCCTGCTGCTGCCAAACGGCGCTCGCCGTCTCTCTCGCACCCCCACGGGGCCCACGGCGAGTGCGAGAGAGACGGAGCGACGACAGCACTGCCCGGAAGCAGCCCGCAGCTCACCGGCGGCACACCGGATGTGTCCGACGTACATAAACACCCTGACACCCGGCGGCCCGTCACTCGGCCCCGGACTGCCGCCAGGACTGCCGTCAGTAGTGCATTAGCATAATTAGCAGTGTGTGTGCGCATGTGCGCGTGTGTGCGTGCCAGCGGAAATTAACATCTTGCGCAGTGTCATCATCGCTCCGGCTTTTCGTGTTGTGGTTGTGATGGCGCCGAGTCGGGAAAGGCTGACCGTGGTGGTGGCGTGCTTGTGCATCGCCGTCGAGTGCGCCTGTGAGTGGGGCAAGGGGTGGGGAGGGTGGCTGTGGAGGGCGGGCAGAGACAGACCGAGCGTGGAATGACCTGGCTGTTTTCCCTTCCCCCGCTGCAGACGCCAAGGTGCAGGCTGAGGACTCGGACTCCGTCGAGGACTCTGACAGCGAGGAAAGCATGGGCAACAGGATCCGGGACACGTTCAGGAGCTTGGCGGGAGGTAAGGACGCCGACGCGAACGTGAGGACGGCCTCAGAGTCTGAGAGCCAGAGTTCGTTCTGGCAGCCTTCTCTCTTCTCTGCTCTGGACTGGAGTACCACCGAACACGGCTTGACATGCGGATCTCTGAAAGCAGGCCTGGACGAGGAAGGGCTGCCCCCCATGGACCCCGTGGTCATGAGGGACTTGGCCTTCTGCCGGGGCTACGGCGCGGTGCGCGCCAACATCGAGTTCCCCTTCTCCACCCTGGCGGGCGTCAGCGACGTGGACGCGGTCAGCAACATCAGGTGAGTGCGTGAGTGGTGAGTGCACCCAGAGCTCTTAAAAAACGCGGACCGTGGGTTCCCGGGTTTGCGGGTAAAGCCGTGGACCATCCGAACCGGGTCGGCGGGTTTACCCGTAGAATAGGCAACACGGAGTGCGCTCGAGTTGGCCGTGTTGCCTGCCTTTTGGGCGGTCTCCGGAAAAAGAAGACGCGGACCCGGTTCAAACGGGTACCAGGGTCCACGGGTTTACCCGCATACCCGGGTACTCGGTTCGACCCGTCGACCCGGTCCAACCCGGGCGGGCGCGCAGCCGGGAGACAGAGCCGCACCGCAGACACCTCATGAGCTCCACTCCACTCCAGGTGCACGCCAGGTGCGTCGCTGCTCGAGTTCCACACGCACCACGACCGGCTGGTGCAGGACGGCCAGTACAACCTGACGGGGAGCTTCGCGGACGTGTTCGCGGTGGGCAAGGGCGGCGCGCACATCGTGCTCAGTGAGTCACCCCGAGAGTCCTCGCCGATCAAGCGTCTTTTTGGGGACTTTTAGCCGAACGAGCGGGCGCCGTCAACGGGGCTAGCTTTGGACACCGGGGGTAATTTGGGACAGGACTTCGACCTGCATGGTAGTTGAAGTACACCACACTTGTCCGAAACTACCCCATGGTCGGAGGCAACTTCGCACAGGTGAGGTGTAAGCTTGCCTCGATTTTCTAGCAGGCCGAGGGGCCACCTGGTCCCAAATTACCCCCGCTGTCCAAAGTTACCCCCGCTGACTTTACAGCGGTCGCGGACGACAAGACAAGGTGTTTTTCCATTCCACCCCCGCAGGAGACGTGACCATTGCGCACCGGCTGCAGTGGCGGCGCGCGCGCGGCGAGCTGCGGGTCAAGGAATACCGAGGCTCGGTGGCACCGCGAGACATGACCGTGCGGTACGACAACCTGCGCGCCGAGAGCCGGGACGTGCTGCTGGACGAGTGCCGGCGGCAGTACCATGATGGTGAGTCCAACCTCAAAGAAAGACACACACGCGCCTATGTATACGTACTCAAACACACTCACACCTACACACACACACGCGCGCACACACACACACACTCATACATAATGGACGTCAATGAAAGCAAACAATCGTCAGTTAATATAGTTAAGCCGCTCGCTCTAAAGCAAGCAAACGCTAAAAATATACATGAACTTGAGATAATTTTAGTTACAGACACCTGGCCCTAAAAACTCACACTCGGCCACCCCCACCCACACAGCTTAAGGCCGCAGCCAGAGCGCAAACAACGCGAGACCCAAATACACACACACGTGCCCGGCACTGCCCGCTCGGCCGGCCGGCGCGATACAGCCGTGCAGCGTTCCTGAATGGTCTCTCGTCTAGCCTCTCTCGTCTAGCCTATCACGTCAAGCCTCTCTCGTCTAGCCTCTCTCGTCCAGCCTCTCTCGTCTACACCTTAAATTTGCCGAGCCCTGAAACGGGGTGCCTTTGTCGCCTCCTCCCACGTTTTGGGGTGGCTTTGGCGCCCAGTTTCTGAGCACATTTGTCTCATAGTCTCAGGGTCCACAATGAAGCAACTTGCCTCCACCCATGGCTCGGCAGCGCCAAAGGTGCCCAGAATCGGGGCACCTTGGTCGCCCAGAAACTAGGCACCTGTGCATGCTCTACCATAGGGGAGGGCCAGTTGCGGGATGATTTGTGGACCCTGAGACTAGGTGACAAAGGTGTCCAGAAACTGGGCGCCATTAGGCACCCCAAAAAGTGAAGAAGGCGACAAAGGCGCCCAGTCTCAGGGCATGCCAAATTTTTGTCTCTCTTGTGTCTCTAGTACCTCCAGGGTCTGTAGTCACTCCCTATGGTTTTCCCCTAGCCTGTGTAGTCCCTATCTGCTGTCTCTCTTTTGTATCTCTAGTCTATGCAGTCCATCCAATCTATCCGGTTTACCGATACTCTCTCTCTCTCTCTCTCTAGTCTTTCTAGTTCAGCGAGCTTGCACGCAGTCCGCAAGCCGAAGCGTGGGGCGGCAGTGATGCCCAGTGTGTGTGCAGCCCACCACGGCCTTGCCTCCACTCGCTTCATATTGTTCCCTTGCCACTCCAGGTGGGTCGGCGGGCGCCAGGCACCGGCCCCACCGCAGGCCTCACCGCGCGCCCCGCCACAGGTTCAAGCCCCGACGGAAAAGGAAAAGCAGGCGTCGAAGGGGCGGCAGTCACGGTAGGTGCGCCCACACTGAAAAAGGAGCACTTATTGTTTACATTCATTCAAGCACTTACAAGAGCATTTGTTTTGCCCAGAGTCAGTACGGTGAAAAAGGGAGGGGGGGGGGGATAGGACACCTGCAAAGTGGGGGCGAAACGCACACCCCATTCGTAGAGACCCTCCCGTCAGAGATGCGCAAGGCAGCGCTTGGTAGTCCCGTGGAGTCAAAGGCACCCTGAGTCAGGCTAGCGGGCGACCGCCGTATACCTGCTGTGCCGCACCAGATGCTGATTCGCGCGGGGCGAATTCGGGCTTCCCGCTCCGCATGGGACTACCAGTCGTCTGTGATTGGCTGAGAGGGCCCCCCTTTGCGCATCTCTGACGGGAGGGTCTCTACCCATTCGTTGTTACGGTGGCGCATCTCGGTCACCCTGCCTAGCAGCGCCAGCAGCGCTAGCAGCATCACGAATCTTTAGCCAGGGACTGACTCTTCTAGCGGAAGGCGGAGGACCTGCCGCCTGATATCGAAGGATAGTTTTGCCGCCTCGACTCTCTCGCACCCCTACGGGACTCCCCGCGGGTGCGAGAGAGACAGAGCGGTGGCGAATCGGGCGGCTGGCAAGCCTGGCCGACGGGGATGGCGCCAGCGCGGCCCGGCATTTAACCATACGGCGAAGGAAGGAGGGGAGAAAGTGTCGCGGAAGAGCTATCCGTCTCTCTGCCGCCGGCCCTTGGCCGGGCCTTGGCCGTGGCTGGCCGGGGCCATGACGTGCTCCTCCATGGCCCCACTGCCCTGAGAGCCGCGACGCCGCGCCGCACACACGCAGGCACGAGCGCCACACATAAATCCCGAAACACGACACCCAACTCCTGGCAGAAGCGGCACCCCGTTGTTGTTGTTGCTCCTGTCGTATTTTTATGTCGGCGCGGATCATAGTTCACATAGAAAACCCCGTGCCACTTTTCAATCGGATGCAAAATCGAGCATGGCTGCTGGTGCACCCCCGAGTGGCAGTGTTGTCGCTGGCTGGTTCCATTCCGATACCCCCCTGCAACAAGCAACTATCTACGCCCACTGTCTGGATAACCGACTATCTACGCGCGCTCTCCCGACAACCGGCTATCTACACGAGCTGTCTGGATAACCGTCTATCTGCTTTCTCCACCTCGCGAGATTGAATGCTTTTATTTATCCAACCAATTAAGTTGCCCTCGCAAAACCTTTACCAAAACTTGTCAAAAGTTTGTCAAAACAAGATTAAGTATGGTTTAAACGGGTCGCTTTAAGTGTCATGGAGAAAAATACTTCGTTATACTACAACCCTAACCTCGCTACGATGTTGGATAGTCGGTTATCCAGACAGCCCATGTAGATAGCCGGTTGTCGGGAGAGCGCCCGTAGATAGTCGGTTATCGAGACAGTGAGCGTAGATAGCTGCTTGTTGCAGGGGAGTATCGATTCTCTGACCGAATGTGTGTTTTGGCCGATGTTGCAGTGGACGTCAACAAGTACTTCAACGCCAACTGGGAGGCTCTCTACGACTCGCTGTCGCAGAGTGTGGACATCTCCTTCTCGCTCGTGTTCCGGGAGTACATGGAGGTGGTGCTGCGCGCTGTGGAGCCCTTCCTGCGCCACTGCGAGGGCCGAGACCTCGACGACGACCTGGACGACAACCGCGAGGACCGCGACGACGAGCGTGGTGACGAGGAATTCGAGTACTAGGACGACCGCACCATCCGAGGGGTTAACGACTTGTAAATTTCGTAACAGCCGGATTACGGATAACTCGGATTACCCGTGCACTGCCTCCGGTTTACCTCAGGATTAAATCAAAAAGTTTCCAGGATTACCCTTAGATTACGCCGAATTACCTCGAACTTCGGGGGATCCGGATTACCCAAGTCGTTACCCCCTCGGCACCATCCATCTATCTACACGACCACACCACCCACCATTACTATTTAAGCTATTTATTGTCACATTACATAGACTGACCCTCTAGTGTTCAACTTATTTATTGTAATTTTAGTTGTTGTTGATCCGAACGGATTCGATTCAAACTAGTCGCGCTTTGCTTTGACGTTTGTAACTGGCTGTTTGCCAAGAGGAACCAAAGAGCCTTGTCCAAATAAATTTTGCACGAGCGAAATCTTGTCATGGAAGACGGAGGGCGGAGCTGGCGGAGCAGCTGGGCCCGATCAAGTCCTTTCCCTGGGACGTCCCAGGGACCGCTTGGGCGACGGCGCGAACGCGTCCAAGGCGCCATGGGGCGGGCTGGGGCGGGCTGGGGGGGGGGGAATCTCTTCACGCCTGCCAACTTTCCCGCGCTTTACTTTCAAATCGCTTGCATATTGTGCTAGGGCGCCTTTTGTCTTCGCTTCGTGTGACTAAGGGTGTGCCGTGTGTGTGTGAGGGTGAGTTTTTGTAAGAGTGTGTGAAAAAGAAAGAGAGATGGGGAGAGGGAGAGAGAGCGTGCATGTGCCGGTGTGTGCGGAAGGCAATAAACCGCGCGCCCCGCCATGGCATCGCACTCTTCTCGGATTGGGTTGCGGAGCTAAATCGGCGCATGCATCAGGCGGCGATGTTTGGGGAAGAAGAGAAGAGGAAGGGGTAAAGGGGGGGGGGGGTCGATGAGCCAAAAAGCAGGCGTGGCGCAGGGCGTGAGGATGACAATAAAATGGAAACGAACACGTTCGGTGCTCGCAGTATGCGCGGGGCGGGGCGGGGTGGGGCGGGGCCGGGCGGGGCCAGAGAATAGGATTGGGTATAAAGGGTAGATTTGCCTCGAGTGGGGCCAGCAGGCCGAGGCAAAGCGGGCTAGCTGGGATGCTGGTGCGGTTGGGTTCAAGAAATGTGGAGCTGTTACGGAAGGGGGCCGCCAAAGATGGTCGTCAATATGCGCTCGCGCGGCTAAGGGGAAGGGGGAAGGGGAGGGGAGACTGGACTAGGTACTCCAGCGCGCTGTGGGGGCGGCGCCAGGAGGGCCACGGTATCGGCCACTGATCACGTACCCTCCGCATTGTTCGCAAACTCCGCGGGGCGCGGCGGCGTCCCGCCTGCGGCCTAGCTGCCCGCCCCGCCCCGCCCCGCCGTCTCAATGGTATCGCCTCGGCCGAATCTTGGCTGCGGAATCTCTCTCCCTGCCCCGCCCATGAGGGCAGCAGCGAGGCATTCGCAGCATTCCAACGCGCGGCACGGTCGTTTGTTTGTCGCGCACCCTAGCGCAATGAAAGCCTCCTGGAGGAAACTCCAGGGAAATGCGGGAAACGCGCCGCCGCGCCGCCGAGTTTCCCGAACGCATCGGGAGCGGCGAAGGTATAGTTCCCTGTCAATGCCCCGCGCGCGCGGAGTGGTTTTCGGAGTTCCCGAAGATCACGGAGTTCACGGACTTGGACCACAAAGGCTGGACAGTTCTCGCGGGACGGCGACCGTCGAGTTTGTTGTTTGCGCGCGAGTTTGCGACCGTCACGAGGAGTGTGATATTTCGCTTGCGCTTATTTTGGCAGAGCTGCGCTGTTACGGCGTCGCGGACCATGAAAGGCACAAAGGGGCGTCCACTTGACCGCCCCCCGCCCCGCCGCCACCCCGGACCCACCACTCAAATGAAAATCCTGCAAATAGTGTCGCTTTGTTCGCACTCATTCATCACTTCTCGGCGGCGTCGAACCAAAACATAATGGGAGGGCTGCCGAAGGACGCTGCCGCGCTGCCGGGGCGGCGAGCCATGAGCCAGGCGCTGGGCCCTGGGCCTGGCCCGGCCCGTCCGATCGCAGTGCCGCATCGCCATCGGCCGTAGTTTTGGCCCGCTTTCGCGTTGCTTTCGCGCACAAAGGAATGCCGAATCGGCCCGGATGAGTCTCTCGACTGCCCGGCCCTCAAATGATTTCCATCCGCCGATGGAAAGCAATTTGCCGCGCTTCTCGCGCCGTTTTGAAAAATTTTCTTTATTTCTTTGTTTTTGTTTTCTTTCCGGCAAAAGTTGACCGTAGGCGCTTGGCTTGGGTCGCTTTCTTTCCTGCCCTCTCAGCGCCGCAACGGCCTAGCGAGGAGCAGTTCGGAAGGGTCGCCGGTCAGTGGGCCAGCAGTCCGGTGGAGGCTCCGTCTCTGCCGCACTCACTGGCATTGCGCGAGGGCTGCGAGAGAGACAGAGCGACCAAGCCCTCACGTCAAGGACAGTGGCTGCGGACCGAGGCTGCGGCACACGCGCCAACGGACCGATGACGTTTTCCGCGGCGAGAGTGAAATGAGCGTGCACAGCCGCATTCCGCGAGAGGGACGCTCTGCCCGCCGCCGCGCCCGACTGGAGAACGAGAAGGGCAAGGTGGAGCTGGCCGCCTCGAAAGTACTTGGCTCCGTTTTCTTGCATCGCCCCTCCTCCCCTGCCGCCCTGGCTGCCTCCACGCCCCTTTCGCACCTTCCTTCCCTTGGTGGGTCCACTGTGGCATTACCCCCTCCCGGGCCGCCCCAGCGCGCCCCCACCGCGCCCCACTGCACCCCACCGCGCCCGCCGCGCCGCCCCCCCTGCGCCGCGCGCTCGCCTCGCCCCCGCGGCCAGGCAGGCAGCCAGTCGTGGACTCGGCGCCATGCGGCTTGGTGCACACCCTGTTCGCCCCGAACCCGCATTCGCCGACGAGCCTCAGCGCGTGATGCCGTGACGACGTGCCGCAGCGTGACCGACCGTGACGCGCCCGTGACCCGCCGTGCCCTGCCGCGACCACCGCGCCGCGACCCGACGCCCTCGCCCCCCACGGGCCCACGGGGCAGCAGCAAGCCGCGTCCCACGTCGAACCGACGATCACCGGTACGTTCTCGTCCTCGCCCGCCAGCCAGAGGGCTGCGCAGCGCGCCACTGCAGTGGAGTGACGCGCGCGGGAAGGCCATGGTGGCCGCGAAGCGCGAAGCAGGCGACCGGCCGAGGGAGGCGCCGGTGACCTGTGCGCCTCGCTAGTGCTTCGTCCGCCTAGAGCTTCCCTAGCCGCCCCGTCGGGGTCCCCGTCCCGTCAGCCGCGTTGGGGCGGCGGGGCACTGCTTGACGTGCATGTTCGGCGTGCACGGCCGCGGGCGGGGCGGGGCGGGGCGGGGCGGCGGGACACCTGTAGAGTGAGCAGGGCAATGGGTACCGCACTGGACGCAGCCCAGCTTTACCGCATCAACGACTCCGCCACGCCCCGCCACGCCGCGGCCGGGTCGATGGGCTGGAAGGCTGGAAGCCTGGAAGGCCGGACGCGTTACTCCATGCTGCCGAGCGATTACAAACCGCGCTTTCGTCGCTCTGTCTCTCTCTCGCGCCGCTACGGGGCGCCCCGCGTGTGCGGGCTGGAGGGAGCGAGAGAGGGCGACTGTTGAGCGAGCGTGCCGCAGCATGACGGCTTGATGGCGGTGTCGGCCACACGTGCAACGCGCACGTGCAGCGCAGCGAGCGCAGCCGGCTGTCTGCCGCAGTCAACACAGTCGGCGCTGCAGCTACAGCCCTGTGGGGCCCTGTGGGGCCCTGTGTGCCCGGAACAAGTGGAACAGGCGGAACAAGCGGAACAGGCGTCGCCGAGACGCCGCTGGAGCGGAGCGCACACGTCAGCGCGAACCGCTTACTAGTGGAGGAGGTGGAGGGTGGAGGCTTCGGGGGCGCACCCAATGAGGGGCTTGCTTGGTCCGGGCGGGAAGGGAGGGAAGGCTGCAAGCAAACTTTGTCTACTTACGTTTTTGCTTTTGCCCGCCTACCACACGCTTCGGCACCCCTCAGCCGCGTATCCGCGCCCAGCGGCCGTCTTTACCGCGCATGTTGCCTAGTGCTGCCTAGTGCTTCCTAGTGCTGCCTAGTGCTTCCTAGTGCTGCCTACCTGCAGCGCGTTGCTGTCCAGGTGCGGACGGGTTTGGAGGCCTAGAGTGGGCCTCGAGGCGGCGAGATGGACTGACTGACTCTCTCTTTTCTTCCGACCGGACGACAGGACAGCGCAGAGGCCTCTTTTTTTCTACGCCGCATTTATTTCTTCCCCTCTTAAAAAAATGAAAAAAAAATAAAATAAAATAATAATTTATTTCGTTTCTCATTTTTAATTTATTAAAAGCTTGGTGCGCGCAGTGGAAATGCGATATTAAAACGGGGGCAAGGGGTGGCGCAACCCAGCGGTCTCCTTCTCCCTCTGCGATTTGTTGCGGGTGCGCGTCTCTAGGCCCCCGGCCGCCACCGGCCCCTCCGAACCCACCACACCCCGCCCCGCCACACCCCGCCCCACCTCGCCCTCGCCCTCACCACGGCCGCAGTCAGGTCGCGGGAGCTCTTTGGTCCCTCGCGCGAAACACGATAAGAAAAGTGAGGCAAGCAGGTGCACGGGATAAAAAGAAGTGCACTCACTGCACCGCCGCGAAAGTTGGAAACCACGGCGTGCTCGGTGGACTCGTTGCGGTGCTCTCTGCCCTGTCGCAGGCAGGGCCTCGGGCAGGGCTGGAACCAAGCACCTGGTGCGCCCTCGCGTTGCCCCACCAAAGGAACTGTGTTTGATTGGAGCCGTTTATGGAATCCCGACCTGCGCATAAAGCGGGCCCCAGCTTCCAAGTTATTGTGCCGCAGTCGGCTGTGTGTGACGAGGACTGCGACAGGCGCTGCACTACACACGTCCTTGGTCGCGCGGCTGTGTTGTGCCGGGGACGGGAGGGGAGGGTGGTGGAAATAATTATTCTGAAACCGAGTCTCCGCAACCAGTAAACAATGCGCCAGCCCGCGGCGCGGCGGCACGGCGCTCGTGTTTGCCGGCGGCGATAGCGAGCATTGCCTGGCTTTGCCTGGCGTTGCCTCGCAGGCACCACAAGCAGGCACTGAGGCAGTAGGAGGCACGCCGACAGTGCCGTGGCCGCCGCCTCGGCCGCCTCGCTCGACAAGCTGGCGCCTCGCCACCCTCTCATTCTCGTGTGTGTGGTGATTATGTACGAGGACGCCCCGTCCAGGGCCGTCCTGGGCCGTCCAGGGCCAGACCAGCTCGTTGAGCTCGAGCATCTGCAATGATGGCACAGCTTGCCATGGTGACCCAGTAGTGTCCCATTGGTGACCCGTTGGCGACCCATTGGCGACCCATCGGTGATACATCGGTGACCCGTTGGCGACCAATCGGTGACCCATCGGTGACCCATCGGCGAACCGTACACGTGGCCCATGCTGGCCGTGTGGGCTGACCCACGGCCCCGGGTCCGAACCTGACCGGAATAATGTGGGGCCGTGGCGCTGGGCGGCGCTAGGCGTGACGCGGCCGCCGTGGGCCTCGCCGCCCCTCCGCCCCGCTCCGAAAAGCCCCAGCCCGACCCGGCGCAGCCCCGGCGGGGCGGCCCGTGAAAAATCTCTGTCCGCCGCGCGCCTTGTTCCGTGTTGACAGTGCAGGCCCGAATCGATGGGCTGGCCGGCCTGCAGGCTGCTTGCGAAGAGGCCTGTCGCTGTCCCTCTCGCACGCAGGGGGCATCCCCTAGAGAGAGAGAGAGAGAGAGAGAGAGAGAGAGAGAGAGAGAGAGAGAGAGAGAGAGAGGAGGGAGAGGGAGAGAGAGGGGAGAGAGAGAGAGAGAGAGAGAGAGAGAAGAGAGAGAGAGGGAGGAGAAGAGAGAGAGAGAGAGAGAGAGAGAGAGAGAGAGAGAAAATTGAGCCTCTGTTCGGCGTGTCTGGCGGCGTGTCGCGTCAGTGCGCCGCCCTCCGCATTGACGGACGTCGTGGCCTCCTCGGCGAGTCCGGCCCGTCCGGCCAGGCCTTGGGTGCCTTGGGCTAGCCCGGCAGGCGGAGGGCCTCTTCGGCCACCTTCCGTGCCGTCAGACTGATTCCGCGGGAGGCCTTTCTCTCTCTCTCTCTCTCTCTCTCTCTCTCTCTCTCTCTCTCTCACTCATTGGACGCCTCGCCGTATCAGAGGGATACAGCAGAGCGACGGCCGCTTTGCACGGAATCACTGCAGCGTGACAGAAAGCGGAACGGGGCGAAGTGACTCCATTATGACTTCATTCTTTGCGCAAACCGGGACGCTCCGCGGCGCGTCGGCGAGGCCTACCGAGTGGCCCTTCTCAATGGCGGAGAGCCGCCGCCTTTTCCGCCTTCCCAGCATTTCCCTGCGCGCCGTGGCGGTGCAAAGTGACTCGGTTCTGAGGCAAAAAGCTGGCGCGGGGAGAGAGAGACCGCCGGCGGAGGCGCTCCATTCGAAGCCAGTCGAGCCCACACCTCCCCACCCCGCCCCGCCCCGAGAAGCTAAGGTAGGGTAGGAAGACGGACTGCGATCCAAGCAGGCAATCTGAGAGCCATATTATCTGACCACCGGCCGAGGGTCCGTAGCCACAGACCAGTGGGGCTGGCCATGTTGGGGCGTGGCGGGGCGTGGCGGGGCGTGGCGGGGCGTGGTGGGGGAGGAGCGGACAAGCATCCAATATGAAGCGATCCCCCCCAATCGGGGCACGATCATCCCAGTCCCACTGGGCAGTGGGCAAGGCGGGCAGGGCGGGCAGGGCAGGGCACTGGGACTCCAGACTGGAACTCTCCGTGCGAACTGAGGAACTTCGGGACCTGCGGCTTGGGACGCTCCCCTCGGCGGGGGCCTTCGCGATGGACTTCAGAACGCGTAGTCACTCCACCGAACCTTCATGAAATTATATTATGCTCACAAAATGTAAAGAAAGTAGTTTGTTAAAAAGGTGATATTGCACGCACCGCCCCGGACGCTGCTATGAGTCACAAATTATGAACCACTTACAAGTGCTCTCCAAAGTTATAAAGTTTTGGACAAAGTGTAGTTTTTTTTGTGTCTTCGAAACTTTGTGCGCCCTTGCACTGGGCGCCTTCAATCCACGACGCCTGATACTCAAGCACGGCTCGCCGCCCCGTGGGGCCCGCCAGCCAGGTGGTGGTCGGGGCGCCCGGAGAACCGATCACACAACGGCAGCAAACAGCGTGGGGCCCCGCGGCGCGGCAAAGGCCTGCGGCGAGGCCCGGCGCCGTGGTTTGCACACCATGTAGACATATTCGGCCACTTCGGGGCCGCTGCTTCTCTGTGTACCTTGCGTGTTGCTGGGCTAGCGAGCGGCGTCCCATGCCTCGGCCTGCCTCGGCCTGCCGGCGGCCCCGATGCTGTCAGGAACGCCATTTATACGTAATCCGATGTTCCACTCCGTCCCACATGCTCGATGCACGGCAGGCTGACGCGTATCAGCATGGCAGAGCTGGCAGAGCCAGCAGAGCCAGTCTCTTCGATCGGAGCCACATCCGTGTTGTTATTTGGAGCACGCACGCACGCCGCGCGGCCGGGCCCCGCGCACGCCCCGCGCACGCGGCACTCGTCGTGCCCCAGGGAGGCAGGCACGGCCCGCACTTGGAAGGAAGGGATGCGCCACACCGCGCCACACCCACTCCGCTACCACTACACGCTAAAAAAAAAAAAAAAACATCCTCTTGGTGGGACTTTTTTCCCCTCCGGTTCTCGACGGGCGTCGTTCTTCCTGGGCCGCCGAGAAGAAAGAACATTGACGCGAAGAAAGGGAAATGTTTCATTGAAATCCTTGCAAAAGATCAGGAAGCTCTGAATGCCATTTTTTTCTGGCTGGCGCGCGAATGTCCGCGCAGGCCGTCGGGGTATCACCTGGTAAGGTTTATCGGATTACTCATCGCCTAAAAAAGCAGATTCTCCCATAAAAACAATGACAAAAGACAAACGATCCGATTGGCAATTGATTTCACCCTTAATCAACCAAATTCTGTATGACTGCCAATTTGGAGCGACGTCCGCCCGCCTGTCCGTCCTGCAGACAGCGGCAAAAAGAAGTAATTGCAAGGTTCGGATGAAGCGTCCGCTTCTCTCCCCAATTTGGGCTCGCCCCCCGCCCCGCCCCGCCCGAGTTGGCCCGGAATGACAGACAGCGCGCCGCGCGGCGGCGACCGCAGTCAGGGCACGTCGCAGCGAGTGGCAGCGAGTGGCAGCGAGTGGCAGCGAGTGGCCCGCCGCCCGCGGATCGTGGGGTAGGCAGGCCGCGCGACGCCCGGGCGCGGCGGGCGGGGCGGCGGGCATTACCATTACCATTGGGCGCTCCGGCCGGCTCCTCCGGCTTGACTCGCCTTGACTCGGCACGACACGGCACGGCGGCCACAACTCTGGCCCGGCCACGTTTCGAGCTCTGAAGTGCTCCCGGAGTGCTCCTCAGTGCCCCGCAACCAGAAAGTCTGACTCGAATGAGGCGACCTGCCGGCAGTGAGCCGCTCTTTGAGCGAGCTGTCCGTCGATGCGGACGCGAGTTCGAGTCTAAAGTTTGGTCCGGGCCGCGCGGTGCGCGAGGCAGGCAAGCCATTCCAGTGACGGACGATTACGCCCCGCGAACGCCCCGCGAACGCCCCGCGAACGCCCCGCGAACGCCCCGCGAACGCCCCGCGAACGCCCCGCGAACGCCCCGCGAACGCCTCGCGAACGCCCTGCGAACGCCCCGCGATCGCCCCGCGAACGCCGCGCGAACGCCCCGCGCACGGCGAGCGTCAAAGCGCTTGTTTTTTGTTTTCCGCCGCGCCGCGCTTTTTGTTGATGCCATAACGCACCGGCAGGTTTCGCGGCTGATGTCGCTTTTCGTTTGTTTTATTTTCGCGCCTCTTTTTGTGGCGCCGGGTGAGGAGGAGCGCGTTGGGACGGAACGATGCATTTTACTAATCTGCCATCGCCTGAACCTTGGACCCTCACGCCATCAGTTTGTTCCGCCCACTGGAAAAAAAAATTAACGTAAAGGACATGGAGCGGTGCCGTTTGTATAAAACGAAACGCGGAAAGTTGTCTGGCAGTGTCGAGTGCGGCTGCTTTATTCCCCCAGGAAGACACTCTGCCGCGGAATGGCGCGAACGAAAAGGGAGTGAAAATAATATTAAAACGAAACGTAAAAAAATACAACTACGAAGCAACGCGAAGAAAACAAGGAAGAAGAATCCTCGCAGTTTTTTTTTCCACATGTAGAAAATTGTGCGTGAAAATAACGAGCCCTCATTTGACTTCCCTCCGAGCCGCATCCCCCTTCCTCCTTCCGCTCCCCCTCGCGCCCCCCTCCCACTTGTGCCGCGCTGCCGCCTGCCTATATTTTAGAGACGTCATCTGCTCGCAAACAGCGTGAAACTCCTCCGCATTTATAACAGCATTTGTCGCGGCCCCCTGCCGCCCCCCGCCGCCCCCCGCCGCCCCTGTGGGCCGCCCTGTGGGGCAGCCAGGCCCCTGCTGGGGCACTGCTGCGCTGCGTGTGGAGTCCCTGAGCGAAGAGGCGTGACGAGGTGGGGCGGGGTGCCGTAGGGGTGCCGGGCGTGGGAGAACGCGCGGGGTGGCGAGGGCCGGAGCACAATGGCTTTGGCGGTCATGCGTTTTCGGAAGTTTTCAAAGTACCACTATCTCTCTGAAACATGAGCAAGGTGATGCGAATGCTCCGCGACCAAGTGGCGCCCTGGCGAGCTGCCAATGTTTTTCTTAGAAGGGGTCGATGTGCAAATTCGTAACTGGCACCTGCAGTATTCGTCAATACTTCTGTACCAAAAGTCCACGCTCATCTTTTAAAGCACACACGAGCTCACGAAGAAAATCGTTCGTAATTTACGAACTATTTCTTCGCATGACAAACTAAAAATAGCTTGTAGCTCCGCATGCTCAAAACACCCCGTAAGGTTCGAAGCGTGCCGCGTTCGTGCGCCCTTCGTGCCGCGTGCCTCCTCGTTCGCGACGTCCGCGACGTCCGCGACCTGGAGGAACGAGGACGGGACCACTCCGAGGCGGCAAGGCGAGCGGGACGCTAAATGGCTATAAAACCAGGAATAGGGCTGCGATGGAACGGGGCCGAACAGGGCCCAGGGGATCGCGTGGCACCTGCACTTTCTGTCCCTTCCCTCCTTCCCTCCCCTCCCCCCTCTCTTTCTTTCTCTCTCTTTTTTTTTGTCCGCTCGTCCCATCCCCGTCGGGGTGATAGATTCAGAGCGGCAGCGAGGCACTTCCCGACCGCCCCTGTGTTTACCCCGCCCGGATTAAAAGCAACGATAATAACTGCGCGGCTCGCCGCCTTCTCTCTCTCTCTCTCTCTCTCTCTCTCTCTCTCTCTCTCTCTCTCTCTCTCTCTGTCTCCTGGTCGCTTTCGCATGCACATAGGGGGACTTCAGCAGCGGTGCGAGCGAGACAGAGCGATGGAAACGCTGTTCAGGAATCACTCTGCCAAAGGATTCGGCTGCAGTCAGCGTATCGTAAAAATGTACGGACGCGCCCCTCCAGTTTGGGCAAGAAACAAGGTCCAGCGAGGAAGAAAAGAGTTCGAAAACTGTTGACTTCGATTTCGATCCGCCACATCATTTCCGGCACATTTGACGGGTTATACAATCTTCATAATCGTATTTTCGGACGTATCATCACCCTGAAAACATCACTAAAATTTTCTCGAAAATTTTAGACAGTTAATTTGCTGTTTGTCGTGGAAACTTTTTTTTTTCCGAGTCGCAGAACGATGAAACTGTTTTGTCTTCATCGTCTCGCCTTCCTGAAAGGAGAGAGCAAGTCTGGCCATTTGACTCGCGGTGCGGGTGATCGGCTGTCGCCGCTGTTGCCGGGACAAGCCAGAGCCCCGATCTTGATTGAGCAACCGGACTCGATTGTCGTGTCCGGCGCACACTTTTCCATTCATGAGGCGACGATTGCCAGTTAGCGAGGATAATCGTTTCATCGCGGTGCCTGAATCGATTGTACAGGTCGATTCGGCTGTGATTGGATGTTGGCGTGGCGGACAAAGAATTAGCGAAACTGAAAATAAAGGTTCATCTTTATACTAGTTCTTTTTTTTATGGAACCATAAAGACATTACGAACGCTTCTATTCTTACTATGAGAACACATACAACAGTAAAATTCATCGTACCTCACAATGTTTCATCAAATTGGACGTACTGCCCCACGTTGACGGGATGCGTAATTCGATGACGTCATAGCCGTGCGTTGACGAGTAAACGTATCTGCAAATGTCAACGCACCTTACGAAGACGTATAAAAACGATCTTCAGAAATTTAGCCTGAGATTGGATGAAATGGAAGGCCGTCCACCCACAACCTCGACCCGCGGCCGGCTGCAGCACAACCACTGCCAATTTGGCCGGGTGGAGTGGGCTGGGGTTGGGGGCGATGCGCACCGACACTCACCAGACGCGTGTCTCTGTTCTGTTTCAGGCTTCAGCTCGGAGTGCTCGACGCGTCGTCGGGGAGGTGCTTGGCCGAGTGCTCGGCGAGGCAGGCCGCTCCTGGCCATGGAACTGTAGGGGCCGCGCCCCCCCGCGCCGCCGCGCCCCGTGCCCCCGCGCCCCCTAGCCCCGCCAGGCCCGCGGCGGCCCCGCCATGCACTGCCCGTTCAGCCAGCTGTCCCTGGGCGACGCCCGCCGGGGCAGCCAGGCCGGCGACCAGGGCGGCCCGTCGCGCCAAGGCTCCCTGCAGGCCGCGGGGACGGCGCTGGGGCCGCATGTCCTGGAGCAAGAGGACGTGGAAGACGTGAGCACGCTCAAGCTCAAGCACCTCAGCGAGGCCGTGTCCCTGCTCAGCGACCCTCCGGTGAGTAAACGCCCTCCATCGTGACTGCGGTCTCCGACGACGACGTAAACGGAGCCCCAGTGCTCAAATTTGAGACATTCCTTGCTAAACGGTGGAGAATGAGAGCTGTCTCCATGCTTCCGGAGATACGAGCCCGCCGTCGTCGCGGCTCTGCAGCAGGCTGCACGTCCCGGACGTGCTCTCAGGCTGCTGCTGCTCTGGCTCCAGCCATGTCCGCCATATTGATCAGACTTGGTAAATGGACGATCGTATCAGCGCCACGCCGAGCTTGGCCCGGAGTTTTGTGACCAATAAACTGACCCGATAAACCAGCACTCTGGAGCGTGACGGGGCGCGGCGTGGTGGGGCGGGGTGTTGGCGATGACACCAGGGCGACACATACTCCGGGCCGCAAGGGTTCATCCCCCCTCCCACTTCTTGTTTACTTCTGGGCCGCGCGTTTCCAAAACAAGCCGGCAACTACTTTGGAGAGCACGGGCAGGCCACGAAACGCGTGGAACGCCAGGCGGCGGCGGTGCGGCCTCGGCACGGCGACGGCGCCGCCGCGACCTCGGCCACCACCTCGGCCACGTCCTCGACCGCGCGGCCTGGGCACGGCGACACGGCGCCACCGCGACCTCGGCCACGGCCTCGACCGCCGCCATGCCGGTCCGACCAGCCAGCCGATCGGCGCGCACCCCGTCGCCTCGGACACCGCCACCATTAATCTCACGGATAATCTAGTCGGCGCGAACGAGCAGACGGCGCCACCGCCAGGACCGCAAAACAACAACAACAACAACAGCAAACCAAGTGGAGGTGGCGCGCTGGTGTTAGGCAGGGACGCGGCCCGCGTGCCACGCGTGGCCGCCGCGTGGCGTGGCCGCGGCGTGCATGGCCACCACGGCCACGCGCCGAGGAAGGGGTTCAATATCCCTCAAGATGCGGGCCGAAGCAAAAAGCGCGGCCGCCCTGCAGCGCCCCCCCCCCACAAGGCTGCAAGGCGTTGCCGGCGAGCTGGATCGATGGCTACAATGCGCAAAGTCCCGCGATATCGCCGCGGCCACTGTAAGCTCGGGCAGGTCGTGGCTCTGTCACACTCACGACGGGTGTCCTCAAAGGTGCGAGGGAGACAGAGCATCGTCTCCAAGACCGCAAGGTCAAAAAGTGCTCATGTGTCAAGTCTGCACCAACAACCAAGATCGGTGTCGCAAGAGTTTCGTTTGCATCAGAAACGAATTTTCGACCCCAAAATTGTCAGTCCTAATTACCCTAGCAGATGTACTTCTTCAGGCTACATCCACAATAATCAATGAGATGCGCATCCGCGAAAACAGAAATAAGTTTTATTTTGCACTTTGAAATTTTGTGAGCCAACCGTCGTCACGTTGTCGCGCTTGGAAAAGAATTAACATTGACAGTGCGCCCCCCCCTCCCCTCCCCGCCCCGCCGCTGCCTGCACGAAGGACACAGCCAGGCCGGCGCGTGGTGGCCGGGGTGGGGTGGGGTGGGTTTTACAGCCGACTCGGGGCGGGGGAGGGGGAGGGGGAGCCGAAGGCGATGTTATTGGAAAAGTGGATAGACAATGCCTGGGTAACCAGACTGCCCTGCCCGCTGTTCCAGTCGCCCCAGCGGTTCCAGGAAGGGTCCGCCGCTGCCAGGCGGAAGCGCGGTGGCTCCGCGATCGCGGATCGTTTACAAATTTAATCACTTCCGCATTGAAAACGGGACTGTAGTCGGCGAGGGCTCCATTTCCGACGGAGAGACCGGGGGTTGCTTTGGCGGGTTTGGCCGGTTCGAGGGGAGCTTTTCTGATCTCTGCATTGTGCGCGTGGGCGTATGCCGACTCGACTCGGCCTGCTCGACCCTCACCTTGATGCCTTGACCCCCTGCGTGCCCTGCGTGCAGCCCTCCCTCGCCGCCCCGCGGGGCCCCGCGGCGCCCCACCGCCACCCAGCCGCCAACGCGCCCCCTTCGTGCCACGGTCGCCTCGGTGCGGCACGCCGCGGCACGCCGGGGAGCAGCGGGTAAACCACGGGCGGCACTCCGCAATGGGAACTGGCGAGCACTGCTTGGACCCTCAAACGGAAACATGCAAAATATAAATAATTTGGCGTCATTTTCGCGAACGGTTCAAGGAGGGTTAGAATAGGTTAAATGCTGTGCGCTGGAAATTAAGTCTCTGATTTGATTGTATTTTAAAGACACTTGAGAAAATGCTTTACAATGAAGGCGAACGCGGGACTTGAATTTTACAAAGGGCTTTTGGACTGACCGTCTTTCCGTTGGAGAAGTAACTCAGCGCGCGTCTGGACTCCCCTTCCCTCTCGCACTTGCAGCACAGCACGCCTCGACGCCAGCCCGTTTAGGGCCGATCCCTCACGATGAATTGGAGTGGAGTCTCGAATTTCAGGAAGATGGTGAATTTGGTCCGTGCCGGAGGCTGATTCCACTCCAGCGTGAAGTTCCGGAAAATCTGTGGGGAAAGGAAATGGAAGGCAGCTAGTTGAACTAAGTGGTAAACCCTGCACTGTGCGCAGGAGACACAGCGGTCTGGTTCCGAAGGATCTTTTCGTCGTTCTGTCTCTCTCACACTCGCGGGGCGCCTCCTTGAGGAGTGCGAGAGAGACAGCGAGTAAACGATCCTCTGGAACCAGCCAGGCGGCAGGACCGCAGATGAAATGGAAGAGCTCCGCGGAGCAAACAGGAAAAAAGGCGAGCGCCTCACCTTGGCGACGAGGTTCTCCAGCTCCAGGTTGGCGAAGCGCTTGCCGACGCACATGCGCGGCCCGAAGCCGAAGGGCAGGAAGGCGAAGGGATGGTCGGTCTTGGAGCCGCCGGGGAGCCAGCGCTCGGGGAGGAACTGGCGGGCCTTCGGGAAGTACCTCTCGTCCTGCGCCATCACGAGGCTGGACATGCCGACGGTGGTCTGAAAGCCAAGGCGGTGGACGGGCACACCGTGCTTCACAGTGGCCCAGAAGACCGGTGGAGGCTGCCAAAATCTAGACGCGTTTCGAGCTCTAGCGTCGCTAAATGGGACTCGAAACGAACGTATGACGCCGCCAATGGATTGCTCTCTGAACGAGGAATCCATTGGTGGGGTCACACGCTCGGTTCAAGCCCTGTTTAGCGACTGTGCAGCTAGAACCGCGTCTAATTTTGGCCGCTACGTGTGCTGACTGCAGGACTTACCCCTTTCGGCACCCGGTAGCCGCCCAGGACCTGGTCCTTGCCGGTGTCTCGAAAGGAGGTGGGCAGCACGGGCATGAGCCTCATGGCCTCCTTGATGCACGCGCGCGCGTACCTGCACATCCGGTCAACTAGAGATAGCAACAGTCATCGGGCACTGAAATTCTAACGACGGTCCAGCAGACTGACTCGGAGAGTCGATTTCGTCGCTCTGTCTCTCTCACACTGGTGAAACGTTTTCCATAGGTGCGAGAGAGACAGAGCGAAGAAAACGACTCTCGGAATCAGTCTGCAGGCGAAAGTGAAAGTGTACTTGAGCTGCTCCATCTGGTCCTGTGTGATGGGCGCGGTCTTGTCGGGGATCACGCGGTCCAGCTCCTCCTGCAGCTTGGCCTGCTTGTCCGGGTTGGTGGCCAGTTGGTACAGCAAGCCGCTCATCGCCGCGGAGGTCTGCAGATACACGGCCATGTCATGCATTGCCAAGTCGGTGCGGAGTAATTTCCCACACTTGGAAGTGGAGAGCTTGCAATCTCTACAGTTCAAGTGTGGAGTGGCACACAGAGCCGCCATATCTTAGCATGATGCAAACGTGGAGAAACCCTCCCTTGAAGTGCGGAGACTATGCAAACTCTGCACTTCCGAGCGCGCATTTCAAGAGTTCTTCACATTTGGTTTCACAGTGTGGGCGCATGCTCACCGTGTCCACGCCGGCGAGGAGCATGTCCATGACCATGGAGACGGCCTTGGTGGGGTCCCCCGTGTTAATCAGGAGGCTCTCCAGCACACTGCGGTTGCCCTGCTCCAGCTCTCGGCGCGACAGGGCCTTCAGCCTCGCCACCGCCCTGTCCACGTACTTGGACGCCAGGCTGCCAACAAACACACTCTGCGTTCAACTACAACTCAGTTGCCAAACTCGTGACAGTGTTAAACTATTTTCGGGGACGGTAGAGCTGCGTCGTCGCTACCCCTTAACTCAAAGCGCTCAGAGAGTTTCGGAGGCGCGGGGTAGCGGCGACCACGTGACCCTCACCTGGTGAACAAGTGCATGTTGCCGACGAACTTCCTGTAGGTGGGGGTGGACACCCACTTCCAGACGGAGGGCTTGATGTCCAGGTTGTACATGCAGTCGAACAGGCCCCTGATGGTGTCCATCATGACGACCGCGTCCGAGGTGGGGTCCAAGTCGCCCGCCAGCAGGCCCAGCCGCGTGTCGAGGGCCACGTACGAGATGGCTGCGGAACCACCAGGCCGATTAAAGCACGTGGCGCCAGCCCTTCACAGTGTGCCCGGGCACACTTACACTCCAGGGACCACTTGGCCAGCTCGTCGGTGTAGTCGGCGGGCATCCTGCCGTCCGGGGCTCGAATCTCCCTCATCCTGCGTCAAACACAGAAAGGCGCAGCAGTTAACGTGACAGCGTCCGTGACAGCACTGTGACCCACCTGGCCACGAAGTCCTGGGCCACGCTGTCGATGGGCTGCACGTAGGGCGCCGTGTTGCGCGGCTGCATCATGACCTGGTTGACGGCGCTGCGGAAGTCTTGCCACTCCTTGCCGTTCCTGGAAACAAACGCGCGCGATGGGACGTCGGGAGTCGCTTGGCCTCTCTCGCACCCAATGAGTGCGAGAAGGACAGCGCCTCCCGTGTGGAACGAAAGTCTGTAAAGTTGTCGTAGTTTTGTCGTTATTCTCACGATGAATTAACATCAAATATACTTCGTAACTACGACGAAATAACGTCAAACTGAGCGTCAAACGCGTTTGGCGTTAAACAGCAGGTAAATTTGAAGTTTTTTTGTCGTTAAAGTGGTCCGTTTTACGTCAAAAAAACTTCAAAATGACGGTGGTCCATGGAGCAGCGAGCCAAAACAGAAGCCTACTCGCCGAGTATCGAACCGAGACCCTAGCCCACCAACGCGTTGGAGGACAAGTGTCGGAGTTCGAAGCCGCTCGGCCAAAGCGACTTGTGGCGGTCGGAGTGCATCGACGCGAACTGCTTCGCCTCGCGCTTCCCGCTCTCGCATTTTGTCGCAGCAACTTAGAGCACTTGATCTAAGTAACGCTACCTGGTTCCTGGTTTTCCAAGGAACTCCCTGGAAATCCCTTTACCATACGTTTCATGGGGAACCAGGAACCGTTTTTACCGTGCTGGAATGTGTTTTGTAACACCAGCTGATTCAAACCCCAAGTAGCGTTACTTAGATCAAGTGCTCTAAGTTGCTGCGACAAAATGCGAGAGCGGGAAGCGCGAGGCGAAGCAGTTCGCGTCGATGCACTCCGACCGCCACAAGTCGCTTTGGCCGAGCGGCTTCGAACTCCGACACTTGTCCTCCAACGCGTTGGTGGGCTAGGGTCTCGGTTCGATACTCGGCGGGTAGGCTTCTGTTTTGGCTCGCTGCTCCATGGACCACCGTCATTTTGAAGTTTTTTTGACGTAAAACGGACCACTTTAACGACAAAAAAACTTCAAATTTACCTGCTGTTTAACGCCAAACGCGTTTGACGCTCAGTTTGACGTTATTTCGTCGTAGTTACGAAGTATATTTGATGTTAATTCATCGTGAGAATAACGACAAAACTACGACAACTTTACAGACTTTCGTTCCACACGGGCTGTGCGGAGGCAGCCCGCTGCAGCCCGCTGGCCCGGTCGAACATGCTGGGTGGGGCGCCACGCCTCGGCCCAAATGATACTCACGAAACCGCCAAGCTGACGAGGTAGTTTTTCCTAAGGTCGCGGAAGTAGTGCTCCAGGGTCTGGGCCGCGCGCCGAGTGGGCCACGAGCCCTCGTTGCGGAGCACCTGTGCACGTGTTACGAAACGCTTTAGACTCACTCACTCACACTCACTCACTCACACTCACACACTCACCCACCCACACAACTCTCACACACTCACACACACGGTCACACACTCACACACACACACACGCACTCACACTCTGCATGATGTCGACGTCGCTGACGAAGAGCAGGTCCGGCCTGGGCATGCCGCCCAGCTTGCACACGGGGCCGAACTCGGCGTGCAGCGCCGCGATGAGCTCGTCGAGGCCCAGGCCGTGGAACTGGCCGACGTACGGCATGAACCGCCAGGCGTTGCCGCCGACGGCCAGAGGCTTGGGGCCGGGGATGTCGCTGTAGGGCCTGGCGGCGTCCCAGTCCGCCTCGGCCGCAAGCGCAGCCGCGGTGGACCGGGCGCGCGCGGCCACCGCACGCAGGGCCGAACGTTCCTGTAAAGAAAAGCCGTAAGGAAAAAGAAGCCCTGGTCGGAGTTTGGCAGTTTGGTCGGTCTGCCGGCGAGTACCTGTTGCAGCCGGAGGGCGCAGCGGGCCGCACGCTGCACGCGCGGCAGAGACATGCTGCGTGGCGGGCTTCGACTGACTGACTGACTGCCGGTCCGGCCGGTCCGGCGGAGGGGAGGGGAGCGCACAAGCAAACACAAGATTAGGGTGACGGGTTGTTGTTGTTGTTGATGATGTCAGCGACTGCTGGACGCGCGGCGCGGCGACCGCAGCGACAGTCGTCAGTGCAGTCTCATGGTCGGCAGCGCAGCGGTGGTGAAAGTCTGAACCGACCAGTCACTGTCGCCACTGGACGCTACTCCGCGTGCGGGAGACTCCCGCCTCCGCCGGCAGAGGCAGTCTCTCGCGCGCGGGGTAGCGCGGCGTGTCACTGTCGACTCAGTCCGTTTCGTCCCCGTCCCTTTGGCAGCGGTTTCAATCACGCGCGGAATTGGCGCTGGCCGGCGCGGAAATGGCTGGGGCAGGCCGCGCAGGCCGCGCAGGCCACCCCGCCGAGGCGGCTCGAAAACGAACGCGTCACGCCGCCGCAGCTTCGTTCCCATCAGCAAATCGGTTTTTCTCTCGTCCCTTTTTTGCCCGTTGTTGTCGCTTTCTTCTTTTTTCGCATTCGGAACGGCGCATGGCACATCATGCCGCTGAGTGCGGCTGGACCGCGTGAGGGCCGCGCCGTGCCGTGTCTCCCCAGAGGACAGCCAGCCGACGGGTCGTTGGCAGAGGCAGCCGTAGGCCGGTGGGCCGTCGATGTCCGATGGCCTAGAAACCCTATGCAAGGGGGTGGACAAGGTGGCCCGGAAGAAGCACCGGGCGCCGCGGATCCAAATTTTCGGACACCTGACGGACTTCTGGCGGGGACGGTCGCCATCAGGGACCCGACCGGCCGTCGTTGCTGGTGGTGCACCACGGCCTCGGCATTCCGAGAGGCCCCTCCAGAGCCCGGGGCCCCGCAAGCAGGGCACCACGCTGATGGCCCCCGATGGAACCAGTATTTGCTCAAAGTAACGAGACTGTCGGGTAAACAACTTGCAGCGGCCACCGGGGGGCCGGGGGGGGGGAGTTTGGGGCAAGGCGGCCTGGGGCAGGGCGGCCTATGCACGGCCAGCGCAGCGGCAGCGGGCTGCGGGTGCAGGCGGCAAGGCCGGTGTAACCGGTATGTTATACCCCCCTGGAGCTTTTTACCCCCGGTACATCATACCTAGGCATGTTTTACCCCCCCGGGAAAAAATGCCTAGGCATGTTTTACCCCCCCCCCCTGAGGTAGGGGGGACAATGTGCCTAGGCATGTTTTACCCCCCCGGTAAAAAGTGCCTAGGCACGTTTTACCCCCCCGGTAAAATGTGCCTAGGCATGTTTTACCCCCCATTCTCGAGGGTAGGGGGTACAGTGTGCCTAGGCATGTTTTACCCCCCGGTAAAATGTGCCTAGGCACGTTTTACCTCGGGCGCTCCGCGTCTCTCGCAGTCTGGGCGCTCTTAGTGGGGGAAAGACAGAGCGACGACTCTCGGAATCCGTCACCTGTTTGCCGCAGAGCTAATGTCAACGGGTTTAACAGTCATTTATTGGCCGGGTCAGCACTTAAGTTTCGTCTCGGCTGTGTCACACAGCTCAGTGGCAAAGGGTGAGGGGTAAAACATGCCTAGGCACATTGTACCCCTACCCTCGAGGTGGGGGGTAAAACGTGCCTAGGCACATTTTACGGGGGGGTAAAACATGCCTAGGCACATTGTACCCCTACCCTTGAGGGTGGGGGGTAAAACATGCCTAGGCACATTTTACCGGGGGGGGTAAAACGTGCCTAGGCACATTTTACCGGGGGGTAAAACATGCCTAGGCACATTGTACCCCCTACCCTCGAGGGTGGGGGGTACAATGTGCCTAGGCACAATTTACCGGGGGGGTAAAACATGCCTAGGCACAGTGTACCGGGGGTAAGGGCAGCCGGGGGGTAAAACATCCCGTCGACACCGGGCAAGGCCGGGCAAGGCCCGTGCTGTTGACTCGGCCTCACTCATTTCAAATGTAAAAGTAGTCCCCTTTTCTTGCGTTTCTTTCTGGCTGCACGGCGGGAACACGCTGCCGAAACGTCGACTAGGAACAAACTCGATGACTAGCGAGTTTTCCGTTGTTCTTGGGGGTGGGTGTGTGCACCGTGGCTACCTAAACTTTAACGTCAATTCCAGCGCCAGGTGTTTCTCGTTTCGCTCAGATTAAACTCGGCTCGCCTTTCGGTGGAGGCCGGTGTGTGTGGCCGGCCAGAGGGAAGGGCTCGCTGCGCGGATTCTCCGACCTCGGTTGGCGGCTCGTCCCGGACAGTCCGGGCAGTCCGGGCACCGGGGACTTTGTGGCTGTGTTGGGAGTGGGTCTGGGCCCCGGCCTGGCCGACGACTAATGGAGGCCCCGAGGCACCTCTCGAGCCGCTTGATGCAGGTGTGTGTTGTGCCCCGCCTGCCCGGCCGAGGGCTGCCGAGGGCCCAGGCCTCGGTCTGGCCGCTTGCCTGCCGGATTGCCAGGGCCGCCAGTGTGCCGCCAGAGGGGCCGCGACTTGACAGCGGCCACTGGGGCCGCAGCGGGGCCGGGGGGCGGGCAGGGGGCGGGCAGATGGGAGACTAAAAGGCTCGGCTCGGCCATGGCTCGGCTCATCCTCGCAGGGCTGGCCCGGCCCGGCTCGGCTCGGCTCGCAACTTTAGCGGCGCTCCGGATAATTTGCCAAACCGCAGCCTGGGCGGCGGCAGCGGGGGCAGCGGGGGTGGGGGGAGCGGGGACGGGAGGGGCCACATGGTGTCTGCTTATGAGCTGAAGGGCAAATCTCGCTCCCAGGGGAACGTTGCGTCACCTTTCTGCCCCGCTCCGTGGCGCCGGCGAGGCCGCGCACCAGTGCACTGATTCCGAGAGTAGTTTTCGTCACCTTGTCTCTCTCGCGCAATCAAGGGCGCCCCATATAGGTGCGAGAGAGACAGAGAGACGAAAACGACTCTCGGAATCCGCCTGCGGGGCACTGCCTCGCCTGCGACTGCCTTAGGCCGCTCTGCCCCCTCGCGCCTTTCCCGGTACTGGCTGCCGCTGGCTGGCGTCGGAGTTGCGGGAAACTAACCCTGCGGGCGCGGAGTTTGGCATCTCCCCGTCGGCCCCCGACGGCCCCACGGCCCCACGGCCCCACGGCCTCGCGGCGCACTGCCAGGACGACGCTCCCCGCCTCGGCCGCCTCGATCGGCACGCCGCGCAGAGGAATTTGATTATTCAGTGTCAATGATTGGCACAAGGCCTCCGCTGGGGCGGCGCTGGGCGCTGGGAGAGAGAGCGAGCGAGCGAGCGAGAGGGAGAGAGAGGAGAGAGAGAGAGAGAGAGAGAGAGAGAGAGAGAGAGAGAGAGAGAGAGAGGAAGAGAGGGGAGAGAGAGAGAGAGAGAGAGAGAGAGAGAGAGAGAGAGGATAGGGGAGGGAGGGCGTCCCGGAAAGAAGAGACTCTGACCCATATTTCTACGCCAAAGAATCGGGCCTTGAGTCTTTGATGGTTCGGCTCATTGTGCGCAACGACGTTAGCGGGGAGGTGCGGCCTGTGCGGACGGAAAATGGATTTACGGTGTCGGCGGAAAAAAGGAGGCGCGGGGTGGCGGGAGGAGGACGCCGGCTTGGGACGGTCATAACTAACTCTGGACACGTTTTGTCCATTATTGGGCAACCTGCGAATGAGATGGCGTGGTTCAATGGATTCCTCGTTGTTAGCGCAACCCTTTGGCTGTGTTTCGATTGGAGTCGTATACTTCGGGACCGCATACCCAAACTCGAAGGGTTCCCGCAAATCCATGGCACTTGCCTTGTCTGAGTGCGTCTAGTGGCCGAGGCAGGGCGAGCGAGAGAGACAGAGGAAGGCCCTGCTCGAGTCTCCCTACCTCGCCAGCAAGTTTTGCCAGTGCCCCACTGCCCTGCAAAGGGACCGCGGTCCTGCCAAGGCGTTCCAAGGCGCGCCAAGGCGTTCCAAGGCGTGCCAAGGCCTTCGCGCCCTTGCCCTTCAGGGAGTCGAGGGCCGCATTCAGCCCTCGGCGGCCCTTTGCCGCCTTCATCGGCCGCGCCTTGTTGACTACCTCCGTCGCCCTGTCTCTGTCGCACACCCAGGCCGCTCTGCGGGGGTGCGACAGAGACAGAGCAACGGAGCAGTGTTCGGGATCGGCGCTCTGGCGCCGAGTGATTGACGTATCCTCGCGGCGATCTCTGGCAGTGCCTCGCGGGGCGGCGGGGCGGGGCGTGGCGCGGGGGTAGCGGCCTTAAGCGCGAGCAAGTCGGGTGGACTACACACAGTGCAGGGGAAGAAAGAGCAGAAAAACGGGAAAAGCGCCGCAGAAAAAAAACGACAGAGGAAAAGAAGGAGAGCGGGACTGTGGTGGTTTCATACCTCCACTCCACTCCATCCACTCCACGCCACCGCGGCCACGACGGCGGGTCCGCGCGTCCGCTACACCGCAAGCACGCCGTGATTGGCTCACGGAGTCTGCATTGTAATCCAGGTGGTTGTCGTGCAAGGCGCGACGCCCAGGTAATTACTTTGGCTAAGCCCGCCCGGCGTCCCCACCACCACCACACTGCCGGCCGGCTGCAAATCTTTCCTCAGCTCCCCGTGGCACCCGGTACGCGAGAACCTTGGCAACGAGTCCGAGGTCTATCGCCAAACCGTGGTGAAAATGACGTTATGGACAGAAAACCAAATAAGCTTCGATATGCTGTGTTTTTGCGTTGCATTCTGGCAAGGTCCCATCACATCATTCAGATTTTTTTCATTTTCTTTCTTTTGCCTTTCGTCGAAAAGTTCTAACCCGCCCCATCCGCTTGCACGCGGTAAAACGGCGGAACCTTTTCCCCACAGAACGCGCTGCCCCTTCTGTTTGCTGTGAGTGCTGCCAACTTTCAATCGGTGCCAAAGTTTGCTTTTTTCGTGCCGTGCCCCGCCCCGCCCCACCGTACCTGGCGCACCCGGACGGACCGACTCCGAAGAAGGAACTCTGCGGCTCCGACTGCCGCTACTTTGAAGCCCGGCTGAACCCAGAAGCGGAGAGACGCACACCGGAAGTGCACGCCGCGCGC